TTCCACGTCCTCCAAGAGCGAGAGAAATAGCTCGTGACCAAGGCAGATAGTTGAATTCGTTTAGGAGCACTGAGCTCAAACGTTGAATTGGGTTGGTATCCATAGTTTCGTTTTTTGAAACTTTCTCTGATGATGTTGCCATAATGGCTTTAACTTGTTTGAATTTGGTAGGATTTCGGAAGAACACAGATGCAGGTCCACGAGGGATCACTGCTCTGATACTATATAGAAAACCTTAATGTATATTTCATTATATGAAAACAGTTACAAGATTAAGCATAAATAGAAGAATAATCGGGAAAGAGAGAGGAGAGTAGGGGACAATGGCAGCTAAGCAAGTCAGCTAAGCAAGCATGAGAGTATGATGACCTCCACACTCTCTAACACAAGCTTTACAGCTATTAACAAGCTTTACACCGAAGAGGGAATAACACAGCTCACTAAACCCTAGCTTAACACAGCTTTACAGCTATTAGGGTTTAAAGAATATTCAATAATATTCAATATAAATATATAGTAAAAGGCGGTTGAGCTTCACACCATGCTCAACAGTCCACATGCATCAACGATCTAGATCAACTTTGAATGCGTGAGTAACAAAAATAGCAATGTTTTTTACGGAAAAAAAAATTATATTTTGTCCAATAAATTCTATACCTAGGTGTTTTTAGAGTTTCCAAAATCTTAATTATTGTATATTTGAGTAGAATTTTTTTTTAAAAAAAAACCCAAAATATAAAATGCACCAAAGCATATATGCTAAAGAAAATCCAGTATTTTTAAGAGTATTAGAAAGTAACACTGTCCGTTGAGAATTTTTAATTGGACCAGATCTAATCAATAATCCACTTCCTTTGTATGAATTAGATTGATAAATAAGACATGAAATGTCTGATATAACATGAACGTATCGCCAAAATTAGCTGGGTGACTCCATGCATGCAACAATGATCTGTTGTATACATGTTAAGAGGTTGGTGGATGAAACAGAGGTTCACATGCATTGTATATACTTGCTTGTATATCTTATACAGCAATAATATATTTAATGAATTGGAGTGTGAATGTTATCAATTATTATCAGTTGACAGTTGTTGGAGGTTAAGGTGAAAACAGGTAAAAAAGTTAAAAAGATATGTGAATGTGAGCCTACTTCGATCAGATTCTATGGCATGAGATGTGCTGGTAACGCAGCTTGGTATACTAAATCCTATATAATTGGTTGATTTTTTTTTCAAATTTTGGACTAATTGTATTATTACACTTAGTGTACCAGTCAATTCGATCCATGTTCACGACACACTAGAAAATCTCTCTTATGACAAATATAGATTTGAGTCTCATTCGGTTCACAATTTCAAGACCAAAAAACACCATGTTATACAAAAGGATCTCAGCTGCTTTTATATGGTTGGAGAAGGATGAGTATTGAGTCGTTGCATGCTTACCAAATAAACACATCTTATAAACTTGTAAGTAATATATACTTTCGTATAAACTGACAGCTGCGTTTCCGGTTTTATTTTCAACTTGATGGAATTATTGATATAAATGTGGAAGCCTGGAAGGGCATGGCCTACTACGAAGAAGACTATTCATGACGCTATACCTCTGTGTTGAAGATTAGACATAGCTAATGAATTATAATTAAGATAATGTTCTAAATTAGGAGGTTTTATCCAAATAATTGCAAATGTTAGAACACGACGGACTAGTATAACCAGTACTAATATTTGTTGATTTACTAGCTAAACCTTAAGGCACAATCTTATCGTTTATTTATATCATAACATGTAAACTAATTAATTATATTATGTGACTGTGTTTAGATACTAACAATAATTTTTCTAAATTTATAAGAATCCGTATCAATGATAAGTACATGAATTAACACACATATTTCACCTTTGTATAATAACACGTGATGTACCACCAGGGCCGGTCCATAGATTTTTGAGGCCCGGGGCGACGTAAAAAAAAAGTGCCCTAACTTCATGTAAGAAAATTATTTATTTTCACACATAAGAGATCGATAAAATTATACTTAGAAAAACACTTCAAACTCAATAATTTAGAAACACAAAAAGACTAATTTATTTTGTATTGAGAGAGGGAAACAAAAAAACTTCGGGTTTACAAGTAGATAGATAATGAGTTTTGTTTTCCATTTGAACTTTGAATGTGTTTTTGAATAAATCGTGAGGTGTTTTTTTTTTTCTTATTCACTAACCTTGTCAATATGGTACTAAAAAATAATGATGTTCTCGAGTCTTTAATTGATATGTATTATTAATGAATGGGCACTAAATTAAACATTTTGATGACACGTCATATAATTTGCAAATTTGGTCTACGTATTATTCTTTGTTGAAGATTAGACTTGAATTAAAACGAATATTTAAAAATAACAACCCACATAGCTAATAGATAGTAACTAAAAATAAATTAACAACCAAACAAAAAATTTTAAAAATTGAAAAGAATAAACATGCACATAGCATTTCAATAGGACCTCTTGTTAATTTTAAACAATAAAAATCATTGTTTCTAATTAAACTTCTTGATCATTTAACCAAATTTTATAAATTTATACTCTTATAAAAAGAAATTTGTAAAAAATGGAGAGTAAATAAGCACACATGGTGTTTTGAACCTAAGACCTTCTCATTATTTTCAAATGACAAACCACCACTTCTAGTTAAATTTCTATGTCTTTGAACCAAATTTTATAAATTTATACTCTTATAAAAACATATATAAATATACCGCCCTAATAATTTTGGTGCTCCTAATTTTTTTGGGCCCCGGACGATCGCCCTACTTGCACTGGGCCTAGACCGGCCCTGCGTACCACCCCATGTTCCAGTCACATTGAAAAATCTCTCATTATCTTGACCATATAATTTGCCAAAGTAGGTTGGATTCGATTTGTTGGCATGCAGAAATTCGAGGTTAGATTATAAGAATTATTATGTGTTAAAAGTTTGATTAAATAACAAAGTTTAGATAATTGAGTGGGCAAACAAACAAATAATTAATACACAAATTAAATGGAGTAAACATAGGGTTTGCAATTGCATGCTACCAATCAAGCTTATCCAACAACTATGATTTTGAATGGCCACAAAGGGACATATGAGGATTTGGTATCTCAAACCCAATAAGCATGACATAAACTATATGGTAGTACATTTTAATCATACAAGTAAGCCTCAAGCTACCAAAACATGATTATTAATATAAGGATAATATGTTTGTTCCATGGGAATGAACTAATTTTCTTACTTGCAAAATAACGTATCTTCACTGTAGAAATTTCACAATCGGAACCGTTTCATTTCACAATCTCCATTTGGAGATCATTCTCGCAAAACATTATTCAAATTGGAGATTATTTACTCATCCAATTGTCAAATAAATGGATAGTTCATCATGAATACATTACTTGGTACCTACACCGTTGATTTATTTGATACATAAGAATTACTAAACGAAATCTGATTTTAATTATTTTTTGTAGGGAAGATCTTCAAATGAATATGAAGAAATTGAACGATTTCAGTTATGAAATTTACATGATAAAGATACGTTATTTGCAAGTGAAAGAATGAGTTCATTCTCCAAACCGGGACACAAGCATTTTCTTGATAAAATTAAATTATAAAGTGTATGATGGAACTTTTGTAGTAAGTTAATTGGGTTACGTAGGGAATGACTAGGGTTGGGGGGGGACTCTGTTGACTTTGTAAAGCTTGCAACTTTCAAGTGCAGAAATATTCAAATATTCATGCAGTTTTGATTGCTTTAAATTTGGAAATTCAACCGCTCACTTTCTGTAGGGACTCGGTCATTTTTGAGCTAATACACCAATTTTCAAACCCACAAACATCGTCCTCTGTCGGTCACCCAACCACTGTATCTTCTCCCATGTAAGCCCATATCTTCACATTCACTCTGTTTTTTCTTCTGTTTTCTTTTTCTTCACTGCAAATTTCTTAAATACACTGACCTTTCGTGAACCTATTCACATTTATATTTTTTTTTTACAAACATTTACACATATATATTCAATTATAAAACTATTTTTCTTAAATATATAAATTGAACACCTTGGATGGGGTCCCTAACTACTAATGTTCTTTGACTAAAATTTTTGTGGTTTTTAATTTTTGATCGAAGTCTCTGATATTAATGTAACAATGTATTTCTATGTAGGCTATTATATTTTTAAATTAAAAAATGAAATTTGTAGTTATTTATATAATGAGATTTTAAATAAAAATCATAATTTATGCGATTAAAAATATTAAAGATGAATTATACTCTAATCTATTGTGTGTGTGTGTACATGGATACATTCATCAAAACTAAGCAAAAACTTATTGTACCAAAACATGGGTACATTCTTCAAAAACACAAAAAAAATTGATATTAAGCTTAATAATGTTATTAAATTTCTTCTATTAAACTTGACATAAATACATTCTCAAATCAACGAAATAGAATGTATCCATATAAGTTTAAAAAATAGATTAGAGAAAAGATTGCATGAATTTTATAATAAAAAAGGGATACATTTTCCATATAACAAATTGGTATATTTAAGAATGGTTACATATAAGATTAAAAAATTAATCTAATGAGTACAAACTTATTATAATTTTGTTTTTTATATTTTGGAAATGTTTGAATTGAAAATTAATTAAGAGTTTAATAAAGGTGTGAATGTTAAAACTAAATCAATTACTAATTTTTATCATAAAAATTATGTAATTCATTAATATATTAATACTAAAAACTTCAATCAAAATTTAAAAATTGATAATGTCTTAATCAATGAACATTAAAAACTATAAACCGGCTCTAATTTTTCATATATAAATATTCTCTTGTTCTTTCTCTGACCTAGTTTGACCTTTTGAGTTCTCAATCCAACTTTATCCCATTATTTAAGACTTGTGTTGCTGTCACATTAATGGGAATTTGCAGCTTGCAGTTGCAGCACAGCTGACAAAAAACTTGTAGCCTCATTGATTCTCTCCCTCTCTTATCTCTTTCTCTCTCTTTCTCTCTCTTTCTCTCCCTAGATTTGCACTCGTTTTTAGGCCCCCATCATAAACACACTCCTGCAAGAAAAAGAAAACCCAAGTTTCCAGTGCATGCAATTACCACCCAATTCAATCTTCCATGCACACCCTCGCATGCAAGCACTCAAAACCCAAGACCAACATTCAACTACCCAAAAATTTATCAGCACACCCACATTAAAGATGCAAGCTTTACACTTACCCATCAATGAAACAGTTGATTCCAACAAGTTCATAATCTAGCTTCGAGCTGCTCTGTTTTTGTCAAGAAAAAAATGGCTTTAGTAACAGATGCAATTTTGCCGCTTTTTCTTGCTCTGTTTCTGCATCTTTCATTAGGGCTTATGTCCTGTGAGGGAAAGCTCGACGGAAATACAACTTTGAGCGTTCTTTTGGAGGTGAAGAGGGCAATTGAGGAAGACCCAAAAAATGTTTTGCATGGATGGTCCGAAAGCGACCAAAATTTTTGTACTTGGAGGGGTGTGACTTGTGGGTTTGACTCGGTGGACAACTCGGTCCAAGTGGTGGGGCTCAACCTTTCCGACTCGTCACTCGCCGGGTTGATATCTCCCTCACTCGGTAGTTTGCAAAACCTGCTCCACCTTGATCTTTCTTCTAACGGCCTCTCGGGTCCCATCCCGCCAACCCTCTCTAACCTCACGTCCTTGGAATCTTTACTTCTCTTATCGAACCAGCTCAGTGGACCCATTCCGTCTCAGCTCGGCTCGCTGACGAGTCTCCGAGTCATGAGAATCGGCGACAATGGGCTCACTGGGTCCATTCCCGCCACTTTGGGCAATCTTGTCAATTTGGTCACGCTTGGTTTGGCCTCATGCAGCCTCAACGGTACAATACCTCCCCAACTCGGCCGACTCGGCCTACTGGAGAACTTAATCCTGCAGCTCAATCAGCTCGAGGGTCCGATTCCGGCCGAGTTGGGGAACTGTTCCAGCCTCACTGTATTCACAGCTGCTAACAATACACTCAACGGAACAATCCCCGCGGAGCTCGGCCGTCTCAGCAACCTCGAGCTCCTGAATTTCGGCAACAACAGCCTCACTGGCCAAATCCCAAGTCAACTTGGTGAACTGAGTCAACTCGAATACATGAATTTCATGGGGAACCAACTTGAAGGTCCAGTCCCAAAGTCCATATCTCAACTGGGCAATCTTCAGAGTCTTGATTTATCCATGAACAAGCTCACAGGAGGAGTTCCCGACGTATTCGGCACCATGTCCCAGCTGGCAACCTTAGTTTTATCAAACAACAATCTTTCCGGTGTCATACCAAGAAATCTATGTTCCAACACAACAAGTTTGGAGCACCTGATGATTTCGGATTCCAGAATTTTCGGCGAAATCCCAGCAGAATTAGGCCAATGCCGATCAATGAAGCAGCTCGACTTGTCCAATAACTTGCTCAACGGGTCAATCCCAGATGATATTTATGGACTGGTGGAGCTGACTGATCTATTGCTCCACAACAACAGCTTGGTGGGTTCGATTTCTCCAATGTTATCAAACCTCAGCAATCTGCAGTCACTTGTTCTGTACCACAATAATTTGGTGGGTCCTCTGCCGAACGAGATTGGAATGCTTGGGGAGCTTGAGATTCTGTATCTGTACGACAACCAGCTCTCCGGAGAAATCCCAATGGAGATTGGCAACTGTTCAAGCTTGCAGATGATCGATTTTTTCGGAAACCGGTTTAGTGGGGAGATTCCGATTACCATTGGGAGGCTCAAAGATTTGAACTTTCTTCATATCAGGCAGAACGAGCTGGTGGGTGAGATTCCCGCCCTATTGGGGAACTGTCACAAGTTGACTATTCTGGACTTGGCGGATAACCGTTTATCCGGTGGGATACCGATAACTTTCGGGTCCCTTCAAGCAATGGAGCAGTTCATGCTGTACAACAACTCGCTTGAAGGTAATCTTCCTGATACATTGGCTTATATGGCAAATTTGACTAGAGTGAATTTGTCGAGAAACAAGTTGAATGGGAGCATTGCTGCATTGTGTGGCTCGAGTTCGTTTCTTTCGTTTGATGTGACTGACAATGCATTTGATCATGAGATTCCTTCCCGGCTAGGAAATTCGAAATCTCTTGAAAGGTTGAGATTGGGGAAGAATCAGTTTACTGGTAAAATCCCATACGCATTGGGGAATATCAGTGAGCTATCACTGCTGGATGTGTCCGGAAATTCGCTCACTGGATCAATACCGGATGAGCTTTCATTCTGCATGAAACTGTCCCACATTGACTTGAACAACAACCTTCTTTCGGGCACAGTTCCGTGGTGGTTTGGAGGTTTGCCTCAGTTAGGAGAGCTGAAGCTGTCCTCGAATCGCTTCACCGGGCCTCTTCCTAATGAATTGTTCAATTGTTCTAAACTGCTAGTGCTTTCTATGAGTGAGAATTCTCTCAATGGAACCCTCCCTGCTGGGATTGGTAACCTGGAATTGCTTAACGTCCTAAACCTCGACCACAACCAGTTTTCGGGGCCAATTCCTCCAGCTATTGGGAAACTAGGCAAGCTGTATGAGCTTCAGCTCTCACAGAACAGATTTGATGGTGACATACCCTATGAGGTTGGACAACTGCAAAATCTTCAGAGCATTTTAGACCTCAGTTACAATAATTTGAGTGGTCAGATTCCAGCCTCTATTGGATCACTGTCGAAACTTGAAGCCCTCGATCTATCTCACAACCAACTTGTTGGAGAAGTTCCTTCCCCGGTTGGTGGGATGATCAGCTTGGGAAAGCTTAATCTCTCTTACAACAACCTACAGGGAAAGTTGAGCAAGCAACTCTCGCACTGGCCAGCTGATGCCTTCGCAGGAAACTTTCATCTTTGTGGAAGCCCTCTTGGAAGCTGCATTGGCAGGAAGAAGCAGACGGGGCCTAGAGAATCGGTGGTGGTAGCCATTGCTGCCATATGTACTCTATCTGCAATCGCTCTGCTGATATTTGGAGCTGCTTCTCTCTTGAAACACAAGCGAAAAGATTTTCGAAAAGCCAGTGACATGAACTGCCTGTACTCGACCAGCTCTTCCCATGCTCAGCGAAGACTGCTCTTCGCAAATAATTCTGTCAAGCCGGATATCAAATGGAAAGACATCATGGACGCCACGAAGAATCTGAGCAACGAGTTTGTAATTGGCTCAGGAGGGTCGGGAGTAATCTACAAAGCTGAACTGCGCACTGGAGAAACTGTGGCAGTAAAAAAGATTTTGTATAAAGACGATCTTATGGCAAATAAAAGCTTCACGACGGAGATTAAGACGCTTGGGAGGATAAGACACCGGCATCTGGTGAAGTTAATGGGGTACTGCAGCGACAAAGGAGCAGGCTCCAATCTGTTGATTTACGAGTACATGGAGAATGGAAGCGTGTATGATTGGATACACCAACAACAAAGTAACAAGAAGAAGAGCCTTGATTGGGAGGCGAGGCTAAAGATTGCGGTTGGATTAGCTCAAGGAGTGGAGTATCTCCACCATGACTGTGTGCCAAAGATCATTCACAGGGACATTAAGTCGAGCAATGTCCTGCTAGATTCCAACATGGAAGCACATCTTGGGGATTTTGGCCTTGCCAAGACACTTAACGAGACTTATGAGTCCAACACAGAATCGAATACATGGTTCGCTGGATCCTACGGTTACATAGCACCAGGTACTAATCAGTTATACTATGAATAATCTTCTTTCTTGCTATTTTGGATACTGAATTTCGAGTTTGATTTCGACATGGATGTTCTATGCGATTGATTCTAACAACATTTCATATGATTTCAGAGTGCTTATTCACTCAAGGCATCAGAAAAGAGTGATGTCTACAGCATGGGGATTGTGCTTATGGAGCTTGTTAGCGGGAGAATGCCGACAGATTCATCTTTCGGCATGGACATAGACATGGTGAGATGGGTCGAGAGGCATATCGAAATGCAGGATTCTACTCGTGAAGCGTTGATAGACCCTGCACTGAAACCACTATTATCCGGAGAAGAAAATGCCGCATTCCAGGTTCTTGAAATTGCACTGCAGTGCACGAAAACCAGCCCAGCAGAGAGGCCTTCGTCACGACAGGCGTGTGATCAACTACTTCATGTCTTAAATCATCGGACGGTGGAGTTTGAGAAGAAGAATTTAGACTCTTATGCATAAGTAATGAACCGCGTTACAGAGGATTGACGAAAATTTGTTGTTAGTATAATTTTCCACTCCATCCCGAAGAGTAACTAGGATCAATTCTGTCGCGTATTTATTCATTCTGTTTGGTTTGGGCTAGCAACCATAATGCAGCATTTTGTTGCGGGGTGCTACTGATGCGAATTGGGTTTGTGAGAGTTTATGTTATCTTATCATCTATGAATCAAGGCAATGGGGCGGACCGGATTCGGATGTGCCATCCCCATACCCGAACCTGTTCGGAACCCGAAACCGTAGAATCCCGAACGGGTTTTCCCCATAACCGAATCCATTGGGTAACGGATTTTCTATTGGACAACGGTTTTTCCCATTATAATATTTTTATATTATTAATTAAATAGTAAATTTTAAATAAAAAAAGTTAAATAGATTACCGATACAATGCATATACAGTATATATTAAATACTAAATAGTGTTATTAATACAATTGATACAAACAATGCATGTGATAAATATTGTTAAAAACGAGATTAATACTATTAATAATTGATAAGAATATAATTGATATTATTAATGATTATAGATAACTCTCTTCTCTGTATAATAAATATTGATATTTTTTTATTAATTCAAAATAGTTTGGTTTCGGTATGGGTTCGGGGCGGATACCCCAACAACTATAACCAAATCCGAAATCGAAAAATTTACCCAACGATTACCCATAACCGTAAAATACCCGAAATTTAATCCCCAAACCGAACCGTTCGGATCGGTTACCTACGGGAAACAGGTTTGACTGGTCAAATTGCCATCCCTAATCAACCGTAGTATCTGAGTTTGAATTGAATCCCCCATTTGGGCAGGGCAGTGTACCCGCCCCTTTGCACAATGCTTCGAATCCCAGATTTCGTATATTAGAGTAGTTTAAATTATGACATTGTCAAGACGGAAAGTGAATGCTTATGGATCTAGAAACTTTTCATCAGAGTAGTTAGATCAGAACCAAAACCTAGAAACAAAGAGAAGAGTTGGTCCAACTGTTTCTAAAAGCTCTAACTAACAGACGTACATTTTTAAGCTAAGCAGATTCGTTCAGGTTCGTGCGTGATCAAACCACTTCACAAAAACAAATACGCCAAACCACTTTACAAACGAGGAGGACAACTCTTTGCAACCAATTTGAAGAATCTTCGTCGCAAAAGACGGAGTGTATTATTAAAGAACAAGACACGCCGTTCAGCTTTGCAATATGAAAGTATTTCAAAGCTTATGCATCACAAAAAGATGAGAAAATTGGGAAAGCTTTTACAGCAGCCTTGCAAACATATCAACATTAATTTAAAAACAAAAAGTGCCTAAAACTTTGAGGCCGAACCGTCTCTTTGAACATGGATCCTGTATGAAAATGCCTCAACAAGCTCAGACGCGAACTAGTCATCATCTTCATCTGCAATGAAGAAGAAACATTAAGCGAGGAAAGAAAAGGAGTCGGATGACAGATACATTTTCTGAGATTAAATCACAGAAACTATATGTTCGCTTTACTTCGTGAATTGAATTCATTCACAAATAAAGGTCAATTAAGGAAATAAAAAAGAGCTACAGTGAACCAACGAATGAATCTACTAAAGGTACGATACATACTTCGTACAAAAAATTTAAAAACCAAACCAAAAACTGGTAAAGCAATTCAAGTGCTCCACAAAATATAAGTAGGCAATAAGTTACAAGACCTTGGCATCTCCTAATACAGTTTTACTTCTCAAAGAGAGAAAACAAACATAATCCATAACCAATCATGACTTGGTAAGAGAAAAACACTTTCCATTGCAAGGGTGCTTCCAGATGTTGTAATGTACTCCTGATTCCTAAAGTAACAAATCGGTAATCATTGAGGCAGATTTTGCAAGTTGGGAAGCATAGATATATAATTCACAACTTTTGGCCTATGGTATACTAAAAATCATACATGATGAATAGGGATCTGAAAGATAAAATGTGGAACAACGTGGAGTAATATCCCCATCATTTCATGGGTACAATGTTTGAGAACTTTCTTGTAGGAACCTCCCCAAATTCTTTTGCAGGAAAACAAAGGGATGAAGGGGTTTGAAACACAGGTAGCAAATCTGTTTATCCAAGACCCAAAACAGCTTATTGTACATATCATTCAACCATAGTCTAGTCAAACAAAACAAAGCTTAAACCTGAATCCAAGTCATTAGCACGAGAAGATGAACCTCCTAATAATCCCAATCACCACTTCATCCTCTCGTAAAAGCTTATTTTTGCCCATCAGTTAATAACTTAAGGAAAAACTGCACAAGTAGTATGCATAGTAACCTTTTTAAGTCAAAACTGTTTTGTAATTTAGGGTTAATGCACAGCTCAACGAATTAAAAACGTATTCCTGACAAGATTTCAAATCCACAATCAGTTTGATGAAACAAAAAGACCCCAACGTTTCAGCTCATTATGTAAGATAAACAAATTAAGACGAAGATGCAACAATAAGATGGCCAAAAAATACAAGTAGGAAAACTATTTAGGGTGTAAGAGCACATGCATGAATTTTTTAATCTTTGCCCTTCAACCATATAATAAGACACAGGATGGATTAGACTGCCATATTGAAATTTGAAAGGAAGAAAAAAATGACTCTTTTCAATCCATATTCAGTAAGATAATCTAGTAGGCTGATAGGCTAATACGACATTGGCATGACGTTCAGAGCTCAGATGGCCCTATATCAGGAAGACCGGGATTTCCTGGTTAGGAAAATCGAAACTGTCTTCTTAATTCACATTTCTATAAAGGTCGCACAATAATGAAGCAAATTTGAGCTAGAGAAAGAGTGACAATATGCTTATATCCTACAGAATTTCACCTAAAATGTTTCAATTCAGCATTTCCACAATATCCAAACCACACTTGCAAGCAAATTCGATATGAAAACAGTATTCTGATCCATCATAACACTCAAACGAGACATGGGGTTCTCAGATTAATCATAGTGTGTTTTGATATTTCGGAAATCATCTGAAAAATGAACTTATCAAAACCAAGCTCAAAGACTGAGACGCCAAAACACAAATGGGATTGTTGGGTTGTCCAAAGATACAATTTTGAATCATGAGAAATTGAGAAATGAATCGAATTTTGATATTGGGTTGGAAATATATACCTATGTAACGGCGTTCGTTGGCGGCATTGGCCTTGTCAAGCATCTTATCGAGGTCCTCTTTGAGCTGTTCGTCCCATTTGACGAGCTGGTTAACGAACACTGCGCCCAATCCCATGCCCAGAACGTGCTCCCAAGGATCTGAATCGGATCATTGGACAAATTGGGGGTTAGTGTTCATGAGTCAATTCAATCACCCGAGAAATGATTAGTGATAAAAGGAGAAATTGAGAGAGAGAGAGAGAGAGATGAAATTTACGGCGCATGTAAGGGAGCTTGCGGAGGGCGTTGGAGTACATCTGGGTGCCCAACCCCAATAGAGCTCCCACCATCGTTGAAGTTATCGGCATCTTCAAACCTTTTCTTTCACTCCTTACCGTCCGCTGCTCTATCTGTGTGACAAGCTAAAATATATGAATATGAAATTGGGAAATTTTTTAAATTCACACCTGACCTCTTGGCCATCTCTAACCGAAGGGTCCAGAGAGCCAAATGGTCAAAAATAGCCCTAAAACTGTCTCTAACCGAGGGTTAGGCCAGAGGGCTATGGAATCTGGGAGGGCCCTACGGGATCAGAGAGGGCTGGAGGGCTGAAGGGGGGGCTGGCTGGCTATTTTTTTTTTAATGTTTTCCTATTGTTGTCGGTTATAACCGACAGCATTAAAGAGATTATTTTTTTATAATAGTTTTACTATTAGTGTCGGTTATAACCAACACTAATAGTTTGAAATTTTTTGAATATAACGGTTAGTAGCCGTTGTATTAACTCTTTTTTTTTTTATGAATTTAAACTTCTTTTTTTCCCTTTTTTTTTCCTTTTCATATGAATCAAATTTTGTTTCATATTTTTTTTCAATTCTATTTTACAAAATTTGTTTCAATTTTTTTTTAAATTCTATTTTTTTTCTTATAACTTCTATTTTACAAAATTTGATTCATATTTTTTTTCATATAACTTCTATTTTACAAAATTTGTTTCATATTTTTTTAAATTCCATTTTTTTTCCTATAACTTCTATTTCACAAAAAAAATTTCATATTTTTTTTCAATTCTATTTTTTTCCTATAACTTCCTAGACCATTTATACAACATTAAATTAAATTAAGTAACATGAAACAACATTAAACAATATGGAACAACATTAAATAACATTAACCAACATACAAATTATACAACATAAAAAAACATTTAACAACATGAAACTTAAACAACATTTTTAAAAACATTTAACAACATAAAACTTAAAAGCCTACTCCATGTTATAGTGCCTCATATACTCATTTATAGAGATACTACCAGTTCTTGGATTGAAAGGCAAATTAGGCCCATCATATATTTTTGCTAGAGCCCTTCTTGACCTATTTGGATCTTCTTGGTCATCATCGGACTCTCCATCAATATACCCATCTCGCTCATCCTCCACTATCATATTGTGTAATATGATGCAAGACATCATGATGGAGTTCAAATTTTCTCGAGTCCACCCTCTTGCCGGTTCGCTGATAATCTTCCATCGTGCTTGTAGAATACCGAAAGCTCTCTCAACATCTTTCCGGTATGCCTCTTGGTGTAAGGTAAACAACTTTTCTGCATCATTCCTAGGGTTTGGAATTGCTTGGACAAGTGTCGCCCACTTTGGGTAGATGTCATCTGCCAAGTAATACCCCATATTGTATTCACAGCCGTTGATGTAGTAGTCAAGTTGAGGTGCTTTACCTTCCGTCAAGTTATTGAAGAGGGGTGAACGCCCAAGAACTGTAATGTCATTTTGGGATCCAGGGACTCCAAAGAAAGCCTGCCAGATCCATGTGTCATATGAGGCAACTGCCTCTAACACAACAGTTGGCTTTCTCGACCTTCCGCTAAAGCCTCATTGCCATCCAGTGGGACAGTTATTCCAATCCCAATGCATGCAGTCTAATAACCCTATCATGCTCAGAAACCCACGGTCTTCAGCTTTGTGAAGGAGCCGATTCAGATCTTTTTGATTTGGCTCTCGGAGGTACTCGTCTTTGTAAACCTGAACAATTGTGTTACAAAATTCTTCAAGAGTATTAAGGCATGTAGACTCAGACATACCATGGGTTTCATCCATCGAATCAGCTGAGTAGCCATATGCCATCATTCGGAGTGCAACAATAACCTTCTGATGAGGTGAGAAACCAGGGCGACCTGCTCTGTCCCACTTCTGTCGAAAGTATGGATTGACCTGCTGAACATCACGAAGTAAACGCTCGAAGACATGACGCTTCATACGGAAGCGACGTCTGAAATCCTCTTCTGTACACCGAGTTGGGGTTGAAGTAGTTGTTCATCAGATTGGCATGCGCCATCGCTCTGTTTCGTGGTTTGTAAGAGCGACCAACAACAGAGCCACCCCATTGAGGTTGTTCCTCAGTTGGCTGACACATCATGGCCGCAGCCATGGCTGCTGCCATGTTTTGTTTGTTGCGCCTTACTTGAACTTCTTCATCAGACTCCTCATATTCTCGTCTCATTTGCGCCCATTTTGCTTCCAATTTGGAATTGGATGAGGACCCCCTATTGGAATTGGATGAAGATCCAAGGTTGGAATTCATTGCAAACTTGAATTGAAAGAGCTTGAATTGCAAGAGATTGAATTGAAATAGATTGAATTTAAAGTTGTGTGAATTATAGCCCAATATCCACCCTATTTATAGCAAAAAAAAATTCAAATCCAACGGCTAGCTGACGTCAGCATGATGTCAACTACCAACGGCTAGCTGACATCATGTTGACGTCACCTAGCCGTTAGATTTGAATTTAAATTGAAGTTTTTAAATAATAAATTATGTTTGGCCCTATGGCCCTTTGGCCCTCGGTTGGAGACGGTTTTTTGTGACAGGGCTAAAACGAGTCATTTGGCCCTCGATTGGAGACGGAGGCAAATATGGCCATGTACTGTTCATTAAAATATTAATATCTTGGGGAATCTTGGAGGGCCAGAGGGCTCAAACGAGCCCTCTGGCCAGCCCTCGGTTAGAGATGGCCTTACCAAATTGCAATTGTGTCACCTCAAAATAATGAAAAAACCTATCGACTGACTGGTTTTTTTTTTTTTTTTTTTTTTTAAACGGACGATATAATGGGAGTTTGGATCATCTTTGTGAGGATTCTAGGGATTTGTGAATCGTGTCCATTAATAGTATTTGACAAAAACTAACCAAACGATATACGATAAACGGATACGATTCACGGATCCCCATGATCCTCACAAAGAGAATCCGGCGAGGATCCTGTTGGATATAATGGAGCTTGGGAAAGACCCTCAGATTGGGCTAGCAAAAGTGAAGAGGAATGCCACTAGACCGTAGTAGTAAGTGGAACTGATTAAGTTAAATGTAGGTGGCATTTCACAACTTATTGGTAAATTTAGGTGACATGGTGCTTCATTTTTTTTCTTTTCAAGTGTCAAGCTGCAATTAGAATAAAAAAGGACAATGCTAGGGAGATTAAATTTTAAATTTAAATTTGCAAATTAAATGATGTGTCACCAATAGGAAATAAACACGTTAACCAACACTTAAATAGTAATCTAATCATTAACAACCACATTATTTAGTTTACAAAATGAGAAATGTTAAGGAAACCCTCTCAAGGTGAGACTCCCTATGGACTCTCTACCACCTCACACTTTAACATCAATTCTCGTGTCAAGATTATAAAATATTGTGTAAAAAAACATAAGGTGACAAATAGTCCATGGAGAACCCCACTTTTCAGAGAGTCTCCTTAGCATTTCTTACAAATTTAGTTAGAAATTTAGTTTTCTTAGTATTAAATTTGACTACAGTACTTATATGTTTTAATATGGTGATTGTACTAAATACAATATTCGTATGAATAATATTTCACCGTCAGATGGTAATTATATTAAACATAGGGTGTGCTATCCACACACCCTTTATTAATTTTTATTCGTTGATTTTCTTCAATTCATCTAATTTGACGGCCGAAAATTAGAAGGGTGTGTGAGAAGTAAAAATGGGTGTGTAGATATCACACCCTTTAAACATATGTAAGTATTGTAATCAATCACAAAATTCAGGCGACATTTTGAGAGTTAAATTCAATTTAGGACCTTGAGTTTTTCACCAAATAACATGCTACCCATTCCAATTTGGATACTATATACTCTTGCCATGTAAACTTTTTTGTGCAATGATATTTATTTATACTAAGGGACAAGAGTAAACGTAACAAATTACAAGAACACAAAGATGTATCATGGTTCACTACGAAATGGGGCTCCATCCATGTTGGTGTAGTCTTCGGTTTCCACTTTGTAAACGTAACAAATTACAAGGAGGCTTGTGTTTGAGAGAATAAAGTGACTCGAGTTTAGAATGAGAGGCCCCCTTCTAATATGAGGGTGAGAGATCTCTTTTAGGGTGTGATCTCTACACCATCACTTTTTATTTCTCACACACTCTTCTAATTTTTAGTTGTTGGATCGGATGAATTGAAGAAGATCAAATGATACAAATTAACAAGTAATGTGTAGATAGCATAACCTCTCTTTTATAGGATTTGGTTTCTCTCCCTTTTTACAGAATTTGTACGCGGTGCTCAACATGAGGCCATACTCGACTAGAGGTAGTGAACGTTAAGAGGTTGCCGAACTAAAGATTATGCTCGCGACGAGGTGGTTACTTGGTTGGAGGCTATGCTCGTTGCAAGACAACTTGACTAATGTTGTTGCTCATTGCGAGTATACGCTCGTCGTGAGTGTGAATATGATTTGATTCTCCACATGAGGCGGTTTGGCGTGTTGAGTGGGTCTATGTGTTGAGTTCATGAGTCAAGTCTTTGAGTTGGGTCCACACTTAGCTCTTTGAGTTGAATCCACAAAATGACTCCGTGAGTCGGGGTTTGAGCTCAGATGTCCAAGCTTGTGGATGTCCAAGCTCATAACAACAAGAGTGTGGCATGCTTGAACTAAAAGTCATGCCGATCCTAGACTCCTAGTAAGATAATTTAAAATATGTGAAACTTCAAAAGATAGGGTTCTTATTTTCTTTATAAGCCCCCAGCTAAAAGGCAAATAGAGGCGTGGCTGACAGTGGAGTGATAAATGTTGAGAATGAGTCATACATTGATGATAATAATGATCTTGTATGTGTTTATAAGAGGTTGAATTACTCTCCATATTGCCAATTGGTTTTATGGTGGAACCTCAAATTTCCTCATGATACCACGTCATCCTATTGTGTTGTTCACGTCGTAAGCTTGAAAATTCACCACATGTGAGAGAGCATGTTAAGAATGAGTCTCATTGATAGGAGGATGAACCTTACATGGACTTATAAGAGGTTGAGTTACTTCTCATATTGCTAATTAATTTTAGGGAACTTTAACGAAAAGCATCCGGTACTGTTCACTTTAACGAAAAACCACATTTTTACACTAAAAAGTCAATCCTGGTACTATTCACTTTACCCTTTATTTTGTCCTTATCATTAAAACTCAAAGTTTTCAAGCCCTTTTCATTAGTTTTCCTTTAATTTTACAATAAAACCTCAAATTTCTTCAATAAACAATATAAGAGAGAGAGGATTGGGCTCGTTAGACGTTCAGCCAAGAGAGAAAAAAAGTAGAAAAATATTAAAACACTAATGTTTCTTCACCGTTGGATGAAATCCGATGGCAGTTGACCAACATTTTTCTTGGTCTCCGTAGAATAAACAGTGGTAGGATTCTATCTCATTCTATTACAATTTCCTTCTCTTCTTTTTTCTCGCTCTTTTATTTTTGTCTTTTTCTTTAGGTAGAAAATTTAAAATAAAATATTACCGTGATTTAATCGTAATAAATAAATAACAAGAAAAAGAAAGAAAAAGTAGGAGAAAAGGGAGTACGGAATTGGACAATTACCAGGTACTTTCCTAGATAAGTACTTTTGCAAATCGCAATTATTGAAGTTGTGAAGCAAGGCAACATTGTCAAACCTACCACCACTACGTACTGAAAATAAAAAGTAAAAAAAAAATAAAAAAATCTACCACCACTACTAGTAGGATGTGGGTAGCCCTACTAGTACTAGTTGCTAGTTCGGTAGTTCCTGTCTTCTGTATTTGCAACTGGTCATCACTCCTAAGTTCTAGCTACTAAGAAAGTACAGTACTGTGCCTGTGCGTCTTCAGTCTTGTACTATTTTTCTCAATAATAACAATTAACTTTCTGCTTGTTTATTTGTGTAGTTACATAAGAAAATTACGATGGCGGTCGAATGTCTGCTTACTTTTGCGGCCAAGGGAATACTGGAGAAGGTGGCTTCGCTTGCTGCTCAAGAAATCAGTCTTGCCTGGGGCTTCAAAGCAGAACTAAAGAAGCTCAGTGAATCCTTATCCGTTCTTCAAGATTTTTTAGGCGACGCTGCCGAGCAAGCGCAAGCTCGGGGCAAGGCAGTGGAAGTTTGGGTGAAGAAACTTAAAGACATAGCCCATGACGCCGATGATGTCTTGGACGAAATCAACTACGAAAATCTCCGGAGTCAAGTGGAACTGCGAAACAATATGAAGAAAAAGGTAAAGAGTTTTCTTTCTTCATCCAACCCCACTTTATTTCGTCGAAAAATGGCTTGCAAAATTAAGAAAGTCAACACTTCTCTGGCGGATCTTAAGAGTGAGGCATCTTTCCTTGGACTAGTTGCAAAAACAATAGATGCACCTGCTCCAGAAATTAGATGGTACAGAGAAACCAACTCACTCGTTGCGGCAGATGAAGTCATAGTCGGAAGGGAGAAGGTTGTGTCAAGTATAATTGCAACCTTGACAAACTCGGACGTCAATCAAGAAAATCTTTCGGTTATGGCCATCGTGGGGATGCCAGGCCTGGGAAAGACAACTTTGGCCAAGTTAGTATACAATGATAATTCTATAAACAGGGTTTTCGCCGAAAAGATGTGGGTGTGTGTATCTAACACTTTTGATGCCAATTCCATTTTAAGTCGGATCTTAGAATTACTTGACCCAACAAAGGTTGGAATACAAAGTCAAGAGGCCTTGCTTAAAAACCTTCAAAGGGAGTTGAAAGATAAAAGATACTTACTTGTTTTCGATGATGTTTGGAATGAAGATCCTCAAAAATGGAAAATGTTGATAAGTTGTTTGTCAATGCTTGATTCTGCTCGAGGAAGCAAAATTATTGTCACCACCCGCAGTGCCAAAGTTGCATCAATAACAGAAACACTTCCACGACATAATATGGGAATTTTGTCAGTGGATGACTGTTGGTCCATATTGAAAGACAAAGCCTTTTCAGATAACAATGCTCCTTTGGCTCAAGATTTAGAGAAAATTGGGAGGCAGATTGCTGAACATTGTGCGGGTCTACCACTGGTAGCAAAGGTACATACTATCATACTGATTATACTTTAAATTTAATTATATATGCTTCTATTGATTAGTTTTAGATTATAACCCACCCACAAGTTGCTAGGGTGTGCAAAATCCGAACCACACCAACTAATCCAATCCAGTAGAGTTTATATTTAATTGTGTACTTTTTTACTTTCAGTTTTGACAATGACAAACTTTGTTAGAATTCCTCTGTCCCACATCAGCCAGAAGGTTTGAGAACAAGCCATTTAAATAAAATTACCTCACTATAACTAACACTGAGGTCTTTTGTATTAAAACCTCATATCTGACAGATTGAGCATGTGGTCAAGTGGGGACAGTATTGGTGTTGTTGGAGTGGGCCCATGGCCCATCTATCTGAAATTTAAGATGATATTAGAACTAGGGGATGAGCTCGTACTGCCATGTGAACGGGTGGGTCCCCTTTGACCCCGCGTGAATGGGTGAGCCCAACTTGGCTCCACGTAGGCCAAAAGATGTCACGTGAATGGATGGGTCCCCATTGGCCCTGTGCGAACTAATAATGAGCCTTGTTGGAGTGGGCCAATGGCCCGTCTACCTGAAATTTAAGAAACTTAGCATGTATACTTACCTTCTGAACCTCAACTTTATGTGTAATTTTGTGAAAATAATTAACATAATAAAAAAAAATCCCTCACAAAGAATGCTGTAGTCAACTTGAATCAAATTGCTCAAAGTTTTTTAGTTGTTGATAACTTTACCCTGTACATGATTTGATAGGAATTCTTATTCATGTAATAGGTTTTGGGAGGTCTGCTGCGATCTAAACACAGTATTGCTGAATGGTTGTCAATTAAAGAAAGTAGAATATGGGACTTGCCAGAAGGAGAAGATAAAATCATTTCAGTCTTGAGGTTGAGTTTTGATAATCTGAAATCGCCTTCTTTGAAACAATGTTTTGCGTATTCCTCAATGTTCATGAAAGACATTGAAATTGAAAGAGATAACTTGATTCAACTTTGGATGGCTCAAGGATTACTTCACCCTTCTTCCGACAAAAGTAATCTAGAAATGGAGGCCATTGGTGATGAATATTTTGATATTCTATTACAGAGCTCCTTGTTTAAAGATGCTACACATGATGCCTATGGCATTGTTACCAAATGCAAGATGCATGATCTAGTACATGATCTTACAGAACTGGTATCCAAATCAGAAATCTTGACACAAGACTTCCATGAAAGAAATGATACAACTGAGATTCGACATGTAGCTCGGGTTTCATCTTCCATACTAGAAAGAATTCCAGGGAGAAATCTTGAGAGGTTGCGATCGGTATTTCCTTATGGCAAAGTCCCTAGTAACATCTTGCCACGGTTTAAAAGCTTACGTTTGTTAAATTTAGCCAAGGCAAAAATTAAGGAGATTCCAGGTTCAATGGGCAAGCTGAAACACTTGAGGTATCTGGACGTTTCCGGAACTAGTCTCAAAGCACTCCCCAAATCTATACACAAACTCTATAACCTACAGACCCTAAGAGCAATGCGATGTTATTCTCTTGAAGAATTTCCGGACGAAGTGAACAATTTGATCAGCTTGAGACATGTTTATTTTGATAAGAGTCTGAAGTTTCCGTTTGGGATGGGGCAATTGACTCACCTCCGGACACTGCCTCACTTTTCTGTGGGAAAGGAAAGGGGTCGTGGAATTGAGGAGTTGGCTAGCTTGAACCAGTTGAAGGGTGAATTAACTCTCTACAATCTAGAACACGTACGTGATAGAGATAAAGCAAGGAAAGCTAAATTGGAGGATAAGAAAAACCTACGCCATTTGAGATTTGTATGGACAGAAGGCATGTCAACAACCAACAACAATGATGAGGATGTACTAGAAGGCCTCCAACCACATTCTGAGTTCGAAAGCCTCGTGATTGAACATTTCAGGGGTGCTAAATTTCCGTCTTGGATGATGAGTAGGTCGTTACCGCTCAATAATTTGAAGAAGATTCATTTGCGCAGGTGCAACAAATGTGAAGGAGTACCAACACTTGGTCATCTACCTAATCTTCAACACCTTCGGATTGATAGAATGGCTGAGCTAAAATGTATCGGAGCTGACTTTTATGGTTACAATCTTGTTTACAATGCAACAAGGTCACGTAAAGAGACGACAACTTTGTTTCCAGCACTGAAACAATTATCCATTAGTGAGTGCAGGGAGCTTATTGAATGGATGGAAGCACCAAAATTGTCAACAGAAGTGTTTCCTTGCCTTGAGGAGCTGCATATCTTGAATTGTCCCAAATTGAGAAATGCTCCCAGTCATTTTCCATTGCTCAAGGACTTGTGGATATCTTCTTGTGACAATGTCCAGCCATTAAAAAATATAACCAGCAGACTAACAAGTCTGACTTCCCTCACGATTGATCTTAATAAGAAAATTACCAGTCTGCCAAAAGGGATGTTGGAGAGCAACAAAAATCTCACATCTGTTGAGATATTAAGTTGTGAGAAGTTGGCTTGTATTGCTCCCAATGTACTTGGATGTTGCACATCCCTCCAGAAGCTACATGTCTATGATTGTAAAAGGCTGAGGCGTTTACCTGATGGGATAGACACACTGCCTTTGCTTGAGAAGATGACAAGAAGAGAATGCCCTCGCCTAGAGTTCATCCCAATGACACACGGCATGGCTTCTCTCCGCAAACTGCATATTGATTCTTGCGGTGGACTGTCAGGCCTACCAAGTGGGCTAGAATACTGTACATCTCTTCAAGCATTGAACATAATGGGTTGCGGTAATCTAACAGTCATTCCAGTCACACACGACCTTTCTTCTCTCCGCACATTGAAGATTGGAGATTGTGAAGGATTATCATGCCTACCAAGCGGACTTGAGCATTTCTCCTCTCTACAAGAATTGTCTGTGTGGAATTGTCCAATTGTAACATCAATTCCAATTTCCAACGGCGTGCCCTTCACCTCCTTGCAGGTATTGGAAATTGAAAATTGTATGGAATTATCAAGCTTCCCAGCCCTAGAATATTGTCCTTCTCTTCGGAAATTGATGATAAGGAACTGCCCAAAGCTAGCATTCATAAGTGCCTTATCACTTACGAATCCACTACCAAATAGCAGATCAGAAAACTTCACTAGTACGAGCCTTGACAGTCTTGAGTATTTGTCTATAAGGAGTTGTAGTAATCTGCATTCAATTCCAGATTTAGACACCTTCACTTCTCTCCGTCAACTGTGGATTCATAACTGTGAAAGATTAGAGATTCGGGCTACTTCACTATGTGTCTCTCTTGAGGAGTTGAAATTAACCAGTTTGCCAAAGCCAGAGAGTATACCAAGTTTAGACAACCTCACATCTCTCTGTATGGTAGCCATTTATGATTGTGGGAATTTGAAAATTTTCCCAAGGGGGCTTCACTGCCTCACTCGTTTGAAGACTTTGACAATTGGTGGGTTCTCGGAGGAGCTTGATTGCTTCCCTGATTTTCCAATTCTTTCGCGACTTAAAAGATTAACTTTGCGTGGGTGGCCTAAGCTCAAGTCTCTGCCTCAACAAATTCAACACTTCACTTCTTTGACGCATTTGTGTATAATGTCTTTTGATGGAGTGGAGGCCCTGCCAGACTGGTTGGGTAACCTTACATATCTGTGGCAGCTGGAGATTGTGAACTGCAAGAATTTGATGTATTTACCTACCGTCAAAGCTATGCAACGCCTTACCAACTTACTAAATCTGGAAATTCGTTGTTGCCCCTTTCTTGGAGAAAGGTGCACTGCAGAGACAGGCTCGGAATGGCATAAGGTTTCTCACATTCTTACTTTCAAAGGTACATTATTTTTTATCTCCGTGAAATAAAGGTTTTCATTTTTCAATTCAGTTGACTACAATTTTTTTAAATGAGTAAAAGTGGTTTATCCTTCCCTTTATGTTTTACTGATCATCGAGCAAACGTGTTTTTCCAGTCGTGGATTCTGAGTCGTGCAGAGTGTTGAAGCTATGCGACGCCTCAAAGTAGTATGGCAGCCGTGTGCCCAGAAAGAAATTAGCTCAGTTGGATAACAATAGTCATGGTCTTCACTGCACATTTGAAGAGGAAGATCGATGTGCCTAGTTATAACAACAACCCAAGGGTTTCAAAAGTTTCACATTGTGAGCATAAGCATTATAAGTTCAACTCCAAGTTTTATACGTACTATTATTTGAACCATAGAATTTCTTGTGTGTATATAATTGCTAAGACCTGTGTTTGACCAGAGGAAGAATAGGGATTAATTCAAGTGAAAACTGATAAACTTGAAATTGGTAGGCTCTGGTCCATTTAAGGAAGAATAGGGATTAATTCATGTTGTACACGAGAAAATGATAAGGTCCATGTCAAACTCATTCATTTGTTTTTTGCTAGGGTTTAGGGTGGCTCTGGTCCATTTAATTAAACTGATTTATAATAGCATCTCCAAAGTAATCAAGGGTTTCAAGTGTTAAGGGTATAAGATTCAATGGTTAATAGAATGCCTAGTGTCATTAGATTAGTGAATCAATTTGTAACTAAATGAAAGCTTAGTAAGTTAGCTAATACTAAATCAAAATCTAGGGCTACCCTCGTCTTTACTTGTTTGGCATGTGGCTTCACCCGTAAAGATTCCTACTTTTTTACATTTGGATTTTTGGGCATGGTGGCCTTGCATGTTTGTTTCCCCTTCTTGATGTGTGATTTTTTATTTTTTACCTAATCCCTTTGGAATTTTTGTTTTGTTTTGCAAGTTCTTACCTTTTAGGTTTTGTTTAGAGGGGTTTTGGTCCTATGCTATGTCCCCCTCTTTTTCTTGTATTTTCTTTTTTCAAAAAGGTAAGTCTATTCTCCCCACTTTTCATGTTTTTTGTTTTTTGTTTTTGTTTTTGTTTTATGAGATGTAAGGTTTATATCTCCCTAATTAGGTGTAACTTATTTTTTTTCATATCAATAAAATTTCATCATATTGTTGAGGTTCTTATAAAAATTAAAAAAGAAGAAAAAGAATAAGAAGTACTGTACTGATGATGTATATAAAAGGCAACAGAGCCATTCTGTTGTAATCCCTTTTGTCTTCTCTCTTAATGAAATCAGTCATTCATATTCTTCTCGGTACCTAGTTCTTGTGTTTCTACTTGCTTAACACAAGGCTCCGAAAGACATACAGTTTATCGTGTATATGTGATTTAACACGGATCCTTGAAGGTGTACTCATCCAGTTTCGTTCTTTCTTGTTTTATATAAGTTGTACTAAGTTTATGCATTTCACTTATAATATGAAAGTACAAACTGTTGAATAAGTTGATGTCATGGAATTAAGCATTTGCAAAAGTTAAGGTACATGATATATCTTAGGGACCAAATATGTGCGTATTCATGAGTGTACTATTTTGATCCGAAATACTAATGTTTCCTCAGTGACAGTATTCACATTATGGTATATTGTTTTGTGATCTTAGAGAACTGATACATGAATGGTAGTATTATTTTTTCTTGGGTTCTGCACCTTTTAGTTAGCTGTTGAAGTTCTTTAGTTAAGATAGCTTAGGGATCACATTTACTAAGTAATTGCGATAAAGTAAAAGAGTCTCGATCTCACTCATGTAAGAGAACGTTGGAATTCATATGAATTCATCACATTTGAATTCATGTGAGTTCATCGAGACTTGGACAGCAAGCAATCTTAGAAGTAAGCTATACATAAAGGTGAACTTCTTAGGGTTTGTATCCGGATAAACCTAAAACATATTGGAGGGAAAATGAAGTAAGCCACATGTTAAATAAGCCATAAGGCAGTTGGTTTAATTAAGAAATCGATGGTAACTGCCATGTTGATGGGACTGGCGGTTACCAATATTAGAGGAGTGGATTGGTCCCTCTTCTCGGTACACAACCGTTGTTCATTCGAGAGAGACTGCCCCATCGAGAATCTTGAGCATTTTGCAATGTGTACAAGGGAAGGGAAGACACCGCTATGGTGAGAGTTATGACTGCAAGTTCAGGTTTGTATGCATGATCATATTCTTGTTAGGGTTTTATTACTAGCTGCATTTATTGCAGTAAGCATTAGGGTTTGATATTGGCACAAACTGCTTAAGCATATATGTAGTTCAGTGACTTAGTTGATTGGATCCTTGTACAACAGAGTTAACAAAAAGTTCCCGATCGACAAGATCAAAATCTTCCTTGTGCAACCATTTCGTTTGTAGAGGTTAATTTATCGTTGAAACTGTAAGGTCTTCCTTGTGAAACTGCAGTTGAATATCGGTTTCTAGCTCCATCTGGGAGTCTGCCATCAATTGGGGTATGTTTGAGTGAGCAACTTTCAAATTTCAGTGCATTTAGGCAAAATGAAGAAGAAATGGATCACATAAGGTTAAAGGGAATTCACCACATGAGAAGGTGTGTAAAGGAATTTGTAAATGACTGCTTCCAAGTAGTCATTTGCAAATTTCTTTTTTTATAATGCTCCTGTGGTGCATTTTTAGTAGGATATATAGTGCTATTCACACACGCATTGCTACGAAACCTACACCACAAGTTGATTAACACAGGTTCCGTGGTAATCAAACTGTGAGAGATTCCATCAATTTAATAAACCTAGCGCCCAGTTAATTGTTTTAATAATCAACCAATTATGCATGTTTATGGTATATTAGCTTCTATGAACAAGTGGTGTAGGACGTGCATAGAGAACTAGCTTCTAAGAAGATCTATCCCTTTTATTTCATCTATATCTATCTATATATATAAAGTGAGAGCAACAAAATAGTGAAACATTAGAAAACTCCTAAAATGTCCCTTTGTTTCCTTCACAACCAAATATAAAAAAACAGAAAACGAGGACAAACTGGTAAAAAAACCATGCTGAACAGAGAACTGTATTTGAAAAAAATAAAAATAAAAGTAAAGGGACAGGCTAGGGATCTGTTGTCCCCAAATTGTGTCTCGTCTATGTCTCCTCTTTCATTTTTGAACGTGTCCTTTGCCTTAACTCAAAGTTAACAGCGTTAACTTTTCTAATTTATTAAAGAAAATTAAAATAATAAACACAACAAAACTTAACACTGGGGGTGCGTTTGTTGTACCGGATTATCTCGGACTGGACTAACCTGAGGGACTAAGTTAGACTGGCTTAGACTAGACTAAGCTGGATTGATTTAGTGATGCGTTTGGTGCAGTGTCGGACTAAAAAACAGGATAACTAATAACTATAATATTATATTATATAATACACATCTAATAATATTTTATTATTAATTCAATAATATTTTATTACTAAATCAAGCTTTTTCCTTTTTATTTCTCTCTCTCTAGAGAGTTCTTCCCTTTTCTTCCTCTTTAATTTCGTCCCCGTCACTTCTTTTCTCCATCTTTTTTCCTGCAACATAACATCCTTCAAATGATTCTTCTTGCAAATCGTCCCCATGCTACTCTCCCCTCCCTTTCTATCTCTCCATATCTCTTTGTCCCAAAGCTACTCTCTCCCTTTCTCTATCCATTATTTCCGAAATTTTTTGGGAATTTTCGGGAATAAGGAAGAATTTTGGTGTTGAGAATTAGGTAGTGGGTGTGGCTGGGTTTCAGATCTAGACATGGGTTGGCAAACAAAGTCACCCAGAAGCATTTCTGCAGATTTGCAGTTCACAAGCCTTGCTGCATGCGATCGTTCTACCTAAGTTTGGAGACGGGATTAGCAATCCCATGGTTTTTGGGGGGCTTTGCTAAGACTGGCTAGGCCCTGTTTTAGTCGGGGCGAGTGAGAGCTAGTCTCATTAACTCTAAGCCCCATGGGGAACAAACACGGGACTGGACTAAGTCTTAGTCCAGCCTAGTCCAGTGAACTTTAGTGAAGGAAAACAAACACCCCTTGGAAGTATTGGGTCGAAGTTGACGACAATTATCACCGTCCTTGAAGCTTTTTTCCACTCTCTCTCTCTCTTTTTCTATCTCTCACCGGAGATGCAGCATAGGAGGATTGAGTCAAAGCCGCATTCCCATCGATTAAGATCTCGTAGTTTTTTGTTATCGAGTCGTTTCAAATCGAGTTGATATTGATTGATCAGATCTCTTCCTTGCTTCCTCAAACCAAAATTTACATGAAATTTGTTGTTTGATGGGCTGGGAAATTGAACAGACAAAAAGTCGAGGAGAGAGAAAATGAGGCTTCGGAAGGTGAAGGGTTCTCCAGGCCGAAGGATTGGTGTTGATGTTGAATAGTTGATGGGTATTGGGAGTGATGATTGGTTTTACTTTCTAACTTTTAATTATTTACTTATTTAATATTATTTAACAATGACATTGTTAAACCAAGAGTTAAAAATAAGGACACGTGTCGAAATATTAGAAAGGAAACATAAACGAGACACAAATTTGGAGATAGCAGATCCCTAGCCAAGGGGACGTGGTGGATAACTCTTCCACTTTAGGATGAGATATTAATATCTCACAAAACTATATTAAATAAGATAAAAGGACGTGGTGGATAACTCCTCCATTTTAGGATGAGATATTAATATCTCACAAAATTATATTAAACAAAAAGAAACAAATAAAAGTAAAGGGACGTGGTGAATAACTCCTCCATTTTAGGAAGCGAGAGCAACAAAATGATGAAACATTCGAAAACAGCTAAAATGCCCCTTTGTTTCCTTCACAACCAAACATGGTGGATAACTCCTCCAATTAGGATGAGATATTAATATCTCACAAAATTATATTAAACAAAAAGAAAAAAATAAAAGTAAAGGGATGTGGTGAATAACTCCTCCATTTTAGGATGAGATATTAAAATCAGAGATAATTGTATTGAACATCCTTTTAGGAGAGAAATATTAAAAAATAAAATAAAAAAGGCGACATGGTGAATAACTGCTCTCCATTTTAGGAGAGAGATATTAAACAGAAAAATTAAAATTTGTTTTATTGGAAAAAAAAAAGAAACAAATAAAACAACAGGAACGTAACTGCTCCATTTTAGGAGGAGATATTAATATATAACAAAATTATATTAAAAAAAAAATAAGAAGCAACATGGGAGAAAAAGGGGTAGAGGTTGTCGTCAATTTTTAAAAAACGGTGAAGTCTCCCACTACCAAGCAGTAACTTCCCAGTTCCCACGTACATTCCCATTTTTCTGTTTCGGCTACAATATTATTATATGTACTCCCTATCTCCTTCAATTACGTGGGCAAATCCTATACCCCCATTTTTTTGCTATGTCTTCTTCACTTCTCTAAGTTGTTCTATTTCTTCGATATTTTTTATTTTGTGTTTGTAAATGATATAAGTTCAATCCCCATCTCCTTCAATTTTTAGCATGTGCGCTATCATTAATTGGATACTAGAAGCATGGTGATGGGAGCACAGTCGTATAAGATTGGTGGGTTTTCACTTCCTTTCCATGCATGATTGTACTCATTTTACACATTTCCATGTAAGCATAATATGTAATTGTATGAATTCCTAGGTTTAGTTTCATTTGGGTTTTTTTAACTTCTTTGTCACATCCTGGCCCGGCCCCCACCACATCCCGAACTCGACTCCGCCGTAACACGATATTGTCCGTTTTGGGCCCCGACCACGCCCTCACGGTTTTGTTTTTGGGAACTCACACGAGAACTTCCCAGTGGGTCACTCATCTTGGGAATGCTCTCGCCCGAACTCGCTTAACTTCGGAGTTCCGATGGAACCCAAAGCCAGTGAGCTCCCAAAAAGCCTCGTGCTAGGTAGAGATGGGAATATACATATAAGGCTTACAAGATCCACTCCCTTGGACAATGTAGGAAGTCACAATCCACCCCCCTTAGGGGCCCGACGTCCTCGTCAGCACACATCCGGCCAGGAATTGGCTCTGATACCAAATTGTCACATCCCCGACCCGGGCCCCCACCACATCTTGGGTTCGACTTCGCCGTACCACGATATTGTCCGCTTTGGGCTCCGACCATGCCCTCACGGTTTTGTTTCTGGGAACTCACACGAGAACTTTCCAATGGGTCACCCATCCTGGGAATGCTCTCGCCTGAACTCACTTAACTTCGGAGTTCCGATGAAACCTGAAGTCAGTGAGCTCCTAAAAGGCCTTATGCTAGGTAAAAATGAGAATATACATATAAGGCTTACATGATCCATTCCCCTAAGCGATGTGGGATGTCACATCTTCCTTTGAAATCTTCATTGTGTGTTTTAAAAATTTTGGTTAGATTGTGAGTTTCAATTTTGATTATCTTAATGCGTTATGGTAATTTAAAAAATTATTTGTTTTCATTCTGAGGATATTTACAAGAATACCCACAAAAAATGAAGAAGGAACTACGTATTGATAAGATCCCAAACAGACATGTCTCTATTTTTACACCTGGTTGGGAGATATATGTCGGAGTAAAAATTACTGATCTAAGCCAACTGATTCTCAAAGAGTGGAAAAAGAAGAAGCATGAGCAGTATGTATTCTAAATTCTTTATTAAATTTGTTACAAGAAATCTAACATTATATATATCTTTAATATATAGGTGGCGCATGAAAAAGGCTGTAGAAGAATGAAAACCTTCAACAACTCCTCACATCATACGTATTTGGAATAAAATAAAACAAATTAGGTACAACACCATTTCTTACTTATTTATGTTTAATGGCATTTTCTATATCATTCTACAAATTAATTATCTCAAATTATAAAATTTAAAAAAAAATTATGGGTGCAGGAAAAAGATTAATAGTGACCAAACAACTTTTCTAAATACAGTAACTCTTCTCTTATATTCATATGGAAGTATGCTATAAATTAAAATTGCATTCAATTTTTAAATAGAAATAAAATTGCATTTTTGTCAGTTTTATAAGCATCACACCTGTCTCAAATTTAACACACCCCGACTCGAAAGGTCCACCTGGACTCCAAATTGAGTTATGTTGGCCGACACCAGAAGGTGACGAAGCTATAAAGTGTAGTGATGTGGAAAATGTTAATAAATTTAAAACCTAAAATTGCCTAAATGAAAGAGTGCGCTTGTAAGCGTGAATGAACCCATTTCACATGTGATGTCAGAACATAAGTAAAGTACAGCATAGTAGATTGAGAATTATACCATCGAAGGTAATCTCCTATACCAAGATTTGCCAAGAATCCTCGTCGATACGAAAACTCAGCTACTAAAACTTGGAGAGGCGGAAAAACAAAGGTGAGTAGGCCTAAAAATAAAGTTTTGTAAAAATCTTTTCAAAACGTAATAACCCATCACCATAAAACTAGTATAGTTTCCAAAATATACATACTAAGTATAGTATGAAAATACTTACCGTAGCCTGCAATAACTCAAGAATTCAATACATCACAATATTTCGTAAATAAACATCTAACGTCTGTAAATCACATAATCTCGCATAAACAAACATATGATATCAAATGCTCATCGACATATGCCGACACACGAGTTCATGCGAAGATATTCTGATGTGAACAAAATTGGGTGTCAGCATATCTTTGCATGAACTCGTGTGTCAACATATGTTGATGAGCAATCGATATGATATGTTTGTTTGTGCGAGATTATGTGATTTATGAATGTCATATGTTTATTTACGAAATATTGTGACGTATTGAATTCTTAAGATATTGCAGGCTATGGTAAGTATTTTCATACTATACATAGTATGTATATTTTAGAAACTATACTTGTTTTACGGCGAAGGGCTATTACGTTAAAAGATTTTTACAAAACTTTATTTTTAGGCCCACTCACCTTTGTTTTTCGCCCCTCTAAGTTTTAGTAGCTGAGCTTTCGTATCGACAAGAATTCTTGGCAAATCTTGGTATAGGAGGTTGCCTTCGATGGTATAATTCTCAAGCTACTCTACTGTACTTTACTTATGTTCTAACATCACATGTGAAATGAGTTCATTCCCGCTCACAAGCGCACTCTTTCATTTAGGCAATTTTAGGTTTTCAATTTATTCACATTTTCCACATCACTACACTTTATGGCTTCGTCAACTTCCGATGTCGGCCAGCACAACTCAATTCGGGAGTCCAGATAGACCTTCCAGGTCAGGGTGTGTCAAAGTACAAAGGTTGAAGTACAAGATTAAGGTAACATTTCTTACTATTTGATTTTGTAAACATGATTACAATTTGTTACCTCAAACTTGACAAATTATTTATCTTTCAGTATTCTAAAAGTAACTGGAGTACAAGTATTGCTATGGGAAAATTGTCAAAGTTAAAGGTATTTAGGTTAAATTGCCTAAAACCTTTATATTTGGGATTGTGCATTATAGTGCATTATTCCCATCTTAATCAGTTGTGCATTATTCCCATCTTAATCAGTTAGACTTCTTATTTTATCATCATTGCTTGAAGATTAACCATGAAAATCTAAAGTACCAAGTGCAATCAAATGGGTGGCAAGCATGGCTTTGATTTCACACATAGACACTATGTTTACATATGTATATATTGTCCATATTTTGCTTTGTTTCATATATTAGGAGTTCATCCCTAGTTAGTTTATAACTTTAACTGAAACCTTATGAATTTGAAAATTTTGATTTAAGGACATTAAATGTTATCAGCATGTATTTAGAAATGAAATTACATATCATATTTTCCTATTTTTTAAATAGTTTCTATTTTCCCATTTTATCTTCATTGTTGTTTAAAGGAAAAATAGTAAAAATTGTATGAGAGATTACTCACATATGTGCAAATTGGATGGAATATATGCTGCTAAATTCTTCAACGAACGTGGCAATATGCCAATATGGCATGCATGACGATAACACGATTATCATAGTAAATGAAAATGAAATCCACCATTTTTAATCCCTTATTGAGTAAGGAACCCAACTCTTGATTTTAAGGAACCTAACTCTTGATTTTCTTCTTGTACAATATATAGGAGTAAAACGATACTAATGGATATAAGAGAATTCTAGCTTCACCGATTAACTTAATTTTTGTTGTTAATCGGTAATTACCAAAATGATAATAATGTCCAAGCATAGTTCAGTTCGTGAAATCAAATTCTACCAACCAAACAAGAAAAATGACACCATAATAAACAACAAGAGAAAAAAAAAAGTGGAATGGTTAGTGTGCAATTTATAAATTTCATTTTTTTGTAAAAAAGGCGGATGCAAAAAGACTAAGTTAGATGATTGAAAATAATAAGAAATTGTTGTGATGGACACACACCCACAATTTATAAAATAACCACTTAAGAAATATAAGAATATCTAAAACAACACATCTTTGGGGCAAAAATGTATCTTGCATGAGCGTGAACTCGTGCTGAGAGGCTAATGATTGTATTACTTGCAAGGCAAGAAATTCTATGTAGTTTATTATAAATAAAAACACTGAAAATGAGGAATAACATGTACAAAATTCCTCAAGCCATTCTACACCTCTCTTGCGCACTCTCTCTCTCTCTCTTTAATAAAATAGACCACAACATACGTAGCAATATTTTGTGTTAGAATATTGCATCGGACATGCTAGAAGCCAAGAAATGTCACAAAATCCAACCTAAAAGGGTAAGAAAATACAAAACCAACGGTAAAAATTGGATGGTGCGTTGAATAATGGGCTCCAAAATGGCATTGACAGTGGAGCAAAAATTTATAACCATTGACTCCAATGGATCACTGTTACAACTAATAAGGACACGCATTGAGTGTTTTCGATTACCTCCATATTTTTTAAATTACTTACTTTTAATCTCAGTCGTGTATCCTAAATCGAATTAAATCTAATCGTTCTTTTCTGTTAATATGGGTAGAAAAAATAAGACAGACCGACTGAGCAATAAAGGAAACAACCATATGACCCTACATTCCCAACGAACTAAAAACCAACATCTCCCTCTCTCACTCTCTCTCTCTCTCTCTCTCTCTCTTATTCAATCCCTACTTTTCCTCACCAAATTGTCTCACTGTTTTATTAGTGCAACTCTGGCCTCCTCTGTTTCCATCCTCTGTTTTTCATCCTCTGTTTTCACATCTAGCTTCCTAGAATCTCATACTCTGATTCCCCAATCCTTCAAATTTAGGTACATCCAAGGCAAACCCACAAAACAATACACACAAAATCTCAAATTTTTTGTCTTTTAATTTTTTTTTTAAACAGCAATAGGCCAACTCTGTGTGTTATCTGTCTGTGCATTGGTGGTTGCTACAAAAAGCTTGTCCAAAAATAGGCAAAAATTGCAAGGAATGAGGTATTATACTAGCGGGTGACAAATTACTTTGTTCCTAAAAAAGCTCCTCTGTTCTCGTGGGAAATCAGTGGCTTGTTTCTCTCCTGTCCCAGACTCTTTGGGGATCTTCCATTTTCTTCCTCTCTTCACATACAAGATTTTTCTTGTGAGGTTGGATTCTTTGTTTTCAATCTCCCCACCTGTCGAATTTCGATATGGGTTCTTTAATTTCTTCCTTTTGGTTTGGATTTCAGGCTCCTCTGAAAATTCTGTAGTTTTAATTAATTACAGTAATTGCATCAGACCATTTGAATTCTGAGATGGCGTCATCACAAGTTGAAATGGCCTCCACCGCGCCTTTTGGGTGCGTGTTAAGGGATCACAACCGGCGAGACAGGTGCAGAGAAAGCAATGCCAGGGCCACGCAGGCTGCTTTTCAGAAGAATTTGAATAGCTTGGTGAGGAATCACCTCACCACCTGCATTTCTGTCTCATCAACCTCTGCCTCTAATGACCAGGAAAGCAACAACTCCCAAGACCAAAACATAGAGAATGTCGAAAGAGATGATGGTTGTTCGACAATGAGCCCGAGGCAGTCTCGGGTTCTTGATCGATGGGCTGAGAGACAAGGAGGGAAAGAAGCAATGGCAATGGTGGAGAGGCAGAGCCAGGAGGTAGAGCTTATGTCAGTGCCTAGTTCCGCGCCTTCATCAACGAGGACATCGACATCAATGAAGGAAGGGACTCTTTCAAGGACAGATAGCTTGGCGGATATTTCCAATCGGGGAGTTGGAGCTTCTTCGCTGGTTCAAATATGGGAGAAGAGGCTGAACCTATCAAACAGTTTCAAGATGAGTTCCAATGGCGGCACAGAGACGAGCAGGTCTAACTCTGGATTGAGCTTCAATGAGAATGAGAACATTTTTTATACTTTCAATGAATACAGTGCTTCCAATGAGTCTGTTGCTTCGAATCAACCTGTTTTCGAAAAGCAATTATCAAGAGAGTCTGAAGCAGGGGTCTCGGTTTGTGTTGATGAAAGGTATGACACTTGCCCGGTTGCTGAGGATTCCATTGAGGACACACATTCTGATGAAAGCGCCACAAGTGATGCCCGGAGTAATTTAGATGCAAGGGAAAGAGAAAGAGAAAGAGAGAAGGTTCGGGTTGTGGATATCATTAAACGGTTGACAATGACAGCACACTGTCCATTATCATCTCCAAGCGATGATAATGATCATGATCAGCAGTCCTGTGCCAATGCATCTCCGTCTAGAGAGCGCGATCGTGAGAGGTCTTTTGGGGTTGATCAGACAGAGCAGCTGCACAAAGGGTTCTCTCAGGTTATAAGTTCGCCGAGGATGATCAGAGGCAGGCAGGCATTTGCGGATTTGCTTATGCAATTGGAGCGTGACCGGCATAGGGAGCTTGACACACTTGTAGACCGCAGAGCAGTTTCAAGATTTTCACACAAAGGGCGAATTCAAGTGCGTTAATTAATTTGCAATCATTTGAACTCAAATTTTCTTAAACAAGCTTAGTTCTTAATTTACGTTGTCTGAAATATGTAACCATTTTCTTCCTTTTTGTGCAAATTCCAATGCATCTGCATATTCACTTTGCTTATTATGCTTGTTTTGCAGTCAATGTTACGGCTTAAACTGCTGCAACGCGGCATGGCAGGGGCAGCAGGTCAAGAAGTACCACGCCGGAAACCAGCAAAATCTCAAGTGAACAAGTTGCCACAAGGCTCTGCTGCCATCATGCATCTCAGGTAATAATATTCTTCATTGAAACATGCCAAGCTATAAGCTAGTTCTGGTTGTTGTTGTAATGTTTCTATAGAATGTTTGTATTAAAAAGAGCTTAATAATTGCACAAAATTGGAAAGAATTTTAAATATTTCAGCTGTCATAACTTTTTCCTGAAAAATATGAGGTTACATCAATCTTAAATATTTAGGTTCGTTTGGTGCTTAAGATTGTTTTATTGGATTAATTTGAATATAGTGAATTATCTAATCCAATTCAATCCTAGACACCAAACGAACCGTTAAAGTACTGTGTGTGATTGGAAAAAGGAAGTTAACATTTAGATCATTTAATTTCAGGGAGAAATTCAGCGCTTGTTTCGAGCAGGCCTCAACAGCTCAGAGTGATGCAGCTAGCACAAAAATCCCTCAAAGGGAGGTCGTCAAGGACACCAGTGTACATGCACAAAACTCCTCCACCTCCAACATGCCTAGCGAAAACACTCCTAGTTGTAACATTGATATAACTGAGCAGAAGAATGCAACATGGGTGCAGACTCCATTGCCGTGTGCTAGTAATGATCTTCGTGAAGTAGTTAGCATGAGTTCTAAAGTCACTTGTCAAGAAACAAGCTCAGTGGCTACAAATACCTCAACGGATGCTAGTAAAGATCTTCGTGAGGAAGCTAGCCCAAGCTCAAAAGTCACCTCGGAAGGAACAAGTTCAGTGGCTACAAACAATTTGCTAGCTGCTAGTGAAGATCTTCGTGATGAAGCCAGCCTGAGTTTGAAGGTCACTTCTCAAGGATCGAGTCCAATGGCTAGGAACACCACGCCTCATGCTAGCGAAGATCTTCGTGAAGAAGCCAGCCCGAGTTTAAAAGTCACCTTGCAGGGAACAAGTCCAATGGCTAGGAGTACCTCGCCTCATGGTAGTGAAGATCTTCATGAAGAAGCGAGCCCAAGTTTAGAAGTCATCTTGCAAGGAACAAGTCCAATGGCTAGAAAAAACTCGCCTCATGCTAGTGAAGATCTTCACGAAGAAGCCAGCCCAAGCTCAAAAGTCACCTTGCAAGGAACAAGTTCAGAGGCCAGAAACAACTTGCCTCATACTAGTGAATATCTTCATGAAGAAGCTAGCCCGGGTTCAGAAGTTATCTGGCAAGGAACAAGTTCGGAGGCTAGAAACCTTGATGTGCAAGAAACCGCAGATGCAACCACATCCTTGGTTGGTTGGCATGAGAAGGAGATAGAAGAACAACTAGAGGATGATTACCAGTACTATGGAGATTATACTTATGACTGGATCAATGAGATTTCTCGCCCACGTAGCTACTGGGAAGACCTGAGGAAGGCATGGTACCAAGAGATGCTTAACTCCAACTCAGGTAAAGGAGAGATACGCCAACTTATCGAAAGGTACAGCAGCATTGCTTCTACTTTTCTTGTTTTGGTTCAGTTGTAAACTTCCATAATTGGACAACCACATGTCTATGTTATACTCATATGAATTTCACATTGATCTATGCAGAAGTACAGTATCAAATTTTCTTGCTAGTGATTTCCGAGACAGAATAGACAGGTTGATGGTATCTCGCTTAGAAATACAAGCGCAACCAGATGGCAGTCAAGAAGGAGAAGACAATGACATTAACCACGATAGGACAAATCCATTGGTGTCTTTCTTACAACAGCATCACCAAAATCAACAACAACAAGAATTGCAGCCGGCAGGCAGTCAAGAAGAACAACAAGTGCAAGAACAAAAACACCAAGAAGATCAGAACATGACAGAAGAAGATGATGATGAGGAAGAAGATGATGATGAGGAAGGTGATGACGATAAAGGAGGAGAAGAAAGGAGTCTAATTAGTGCTCAATATCAAGAAGCGAGTGATGATTTTTACCAGTGCACATCATTGCAGCCATCGCCATCTCATATGACATCGTGGAGCTATCAAGATATTGAAGTGGGAGATAATTTTGGTCGAGCTGCTTCTACATCTCCACCCCGACATTTTCCATCTCATTCTTACTATCCAAATAGTCGGCAAGGTTCACAATCACCATCTCTATCATACCATCAAAATCATCACCACGTCTCTTCCCCCTATCATCCTTCAATGGTGAGTTTAACTTTTTCCCCTCTGCAGTTACATTAACTTTGAGTTCTTAAGTTACTGGTCAGTATAGAATCTAAGTTAACTCTGCCGAACTTTCAGGAAATGGAATTCATTTATGACATGAGAGGGCAGATGGAGAAACTCTATCGTGAGATGTCGGAGCTACGAAAAGTAATAAAGAGCTGTGTAGACATGCAACTGGTAATGCAGCAATCCATGAAGCAGGAAGTTCATTCAGGTTCGTGCTGTACTTCTTGTATGTTTCTCTTAATTTGGGGCCTCAGATCAATTTAAAATGAATATCATAATTTGCACAAATGCATCCACTGAAAGGGTATCTAAAAACATCCTTGCTCTTATACTTGTTTTGACTTTTAATATTTATTTTGGTCTTTTAGGACAGTTTTAAGTACTCTTTCAAAGCTATAGCGAGAATAAACCTGTGAGTGGCTGCATAGTTTCTGCATTACTCCTTATTTTCAATCAGTTTCTTGACAGTACACTATTATGTATGTTACAGGTCAAGCGGAGAGGAAGAGGTCGGCAAATGGATTACCAAAGAAAGGAAATTGTTGCATTTGCCATGAAGTGAAAGTCGACTCACTTTTTTACAGGTAACTTGCCATCCAAGCAAGGCTTCTCATGTGAATATAGATCTTTTCATTTCAATTCTTGGTTGGCTGTAGTACTCATCTTGTGAGCTGCCATTTCTGAATTTTCCAGGTGTGGCCACATGTGCACCTGTCTCAAGTGTGCTCATGAGTTGCAATGGAACAGCGGAAAATGTCCAATCTGTCGGGCTCCAATCGTGGATGTCGTGAAGGCACAGATGGATTACTAGACTCTACCGGCGCCAGGTGAACGAGTTCTTGCTTCAGAGGACCGTCTTTCTTTCGAACAATTCAACATAGTGAAGCATCCAACATTGGAAGAGGAAGCTAATTTTGTTCATCTTTGCCTATTTACTTATATAATTTTTTTGTACATGTCAAAAGTCATCATGGGACATCATACTTGGTTTCTCTTTTCCCACATATACTCTTGTGTGTGTGTTTTTTTAGGAGAGACCCACAACTAACAAGCTCTATTGTTTGTTATTCGTCTTGCTATATACAATTTGAGAAAAGGTGCCTCTTTTTGGAAACATGCTTTGCTTCATATCAAATTTATATTGTCATTCACCCATGTTAAAACACGTGAATCAGCAGCACAATCTAGCGGGATGACTATTGCACCCAAATATTTTCGTAGTTGCAACAGGTGATGTTGCTTGTTGGTTAAGAAACCGTAAATGAAAGGTTGGTGTAATTTTCAAAATGTATTTCAAATCAGTATCAGTAAAGCCAATAATTCCTGCTTTAACCTTATTTATCTAGCCAAAGAAAAGAGTTGGTGTAATTTTTACCGTCTAGTGCAGGATTGTGATGTGTAGGGTTGTTTAACAGTTTTCACTGCAGAAACAAACAGAATATCAGAATCATAGGATCTTGTTGGGGGACTTCGTGTACATAGCAATCAAACAATATAATATATATGCTTTATATTTTGTATTCACTTTAACCTTTTAACATGTGTACAATAACCATTTTGAAGCTCTTTGGTGCTTCAGATAATAGTGCAGCTATGGGCCTATCAGTGTTGTCTCGAATCATTGATGGCTGTAAAATTCGAAAAACGCCTAAACTAACGCGCAGTTATGAAACTAAATAGCTATTATTTTAATGGTATTTCTCTTCTTAATGTCAAAAGAGATCACAAGTTCAAATTCTGCGATAAAAAACCTACAACTGGGAAGGAAAAAAGCCCTTAAAATATTATATGATGCATTGTAATTGGTAAGTATTTAAGATGTAGACAGATAAACTAAAAAGCATAGAAGGTTAAGGAGAAATTTGCCCCCACACAAGGGTTAATTTTTTGCTATATTTGATAAATACTCCTTTTGAGAATTCAAATCATTTGAATTACAACTAGCCATTGTGTCATCTCACTCTTCCAATCTAAATTATTAGAACAATCGAACTGCAAACTTGGACGTAACCAAGTTTGTTGAACGTTTTCTCAGCACTCATCCCTTTATGTTATCTTACTATTCATAATTTAATTTTAATTTGTTTTAAACTTTCATACATGGTTCCCATCTAAACAGAATGCTGCCCCCCCTGGGACTGGGAGATGCCAGCAGCCCAGCAACAAAGTCGACAACGTCGACAACCAAAACCCTTTCTTTTCAGTTGTTATTAAGATTGCCTCCTAACAACTCATCACTCAGGGCAGCCCTACCTTATTATTATTTTATTTTCTTGTTCAACATTTTTTTCGTTCTTATTAGGCTCCTAAAAATATAATTTATGCCTTGAATTTAAGCCATCACCCAAATATCCTTTGACCCCAAAATTTCTTTGTAATATCTGGACAATCCTGCCTGCTATAGTAATAACCATGGAAGAAAATGCCGATAATATCGGCGAAATATCGCCGATATTATCGGTTTTTCGGGGTATGGATATTCTAAGTGGTATCCGAGTGGTTTTCGGCCAAATATCGCGATAATATCGCTAATATCGATAATATCGCGATATTAGCGATATTATCGCGATATTAGCCATAATATCGTCGAGGATCCTCCGTCGTCGTCGTCGCAACGACAGCCGAAGAAGAAATGGGGGGGGGGAGAACCGAAGAAGAAGAAACAAGGAGAAGTCGGCTTCCGGAGGCAGAACGTCGACGAGGGCTTCCGGAGGCAGAACGTCGGCTTCAGATTCTTGAGGCGGCTGTACAGATCGTCCTCGTCGGAGGCCTAGATATGTTCGGTGTAGCCCTGGAGGTCGGATCTGATGGAGGGGATCGATGCCGGTGGCTCCGGCGAGGGCTTCGTGTCTTCGTGTGTGTGTGTGGTCTGTGTGGTCTGCGTGTGTCGTCGGAGAGGGAGAGGGTATGGATGTTGCTCACGGGTAGAGAGGGAGAGGGTGAGGGCGACTTGAGGGAGAGAGAGCTCGGGGAGCTTCGAAGAGCAGAAGAGGGAGTGAAGGGAGAAAGGAAGAGAGATGAGAGAGGGAGTACGGGAGAAAGGGCGCGTGGGTCCTTAGGCTCAAGAATTAAGACCCAAAAACTATTTTTAATTAGGAGTGGGGTGTGACATCACGTGTAGACTTGTTTTTATTAATACATTATGAACGTTGTAACTTGTTTGTATTAATACATTACGAACGACACTTAAATTTTTTACTATATAAAAGGATTTTGTTGTCTACATATTGTATTAATTCATTATATATAAATGATTACGGTGTGTTTAAATTTCTTTTATTAATTACTACATATTTTCTACACTCACAATGTTTGCCAGCTCGCTATATAATCAACTTGATAATGTTAAATCCATCATGCAATGCATTTCCTTTCAATTTTTTGTGATAAACTAATAGATAATTGACTAAATAAACATCCTGCAAAGTTTCAATAAAAATTTCCAAGTTTTTCTTACAATTTCCGTAGTTTCCATGTAATTTTTATCGATATCGATATTATCCCGATATTTCCATCGATATTTCCGTGATTTCGGACTACCGATATTTCCGATATTACCGATATTTAATACCTTGGTAATAACCAAGAGTGATCAAGTGATGATGATATACCACTTAGTATTATAGACCTAGTAATATTCTTCTTCACTTGTAAATGGAAGGTCTTAAGTTTAATTTTTGTCATTCTCGCCAAAAGCGAATTTGAACCACATTATTATGGATAGCCCAATGTGAGGTTTAGTCACTCCTCCACCCCTCCCCCCTTTGTAGAGGGCATAATCTTCAAATATTATGCTAAGAATATTTGTTTAAGCCCGTGTCGAAAGCTGACAGCCATTAATACATTTTGAAATCAAGTAAGCACATAGGTCAATTACGCATGTATGAATTATTGACAATCACTCACGCGGGCACTGGGATTGTCCTTGGCATCTCTTATTTTTACTAGGTGCAACACTCAGAACATGTTAAAAAGAACATCAAATGGTTTTGTAATTGCGAGGTTAGGCAACTATTCACGTGCATATACATTGAATCATACATTGGATAGCTAGCTCTCTTTCCCTCCAAGCAAGTTAAGGGTGTCCAAAATATCATTGAGGATATATACACTACTATCCCTAGAAAGGCATATATATATATATATATATACACACACACACTCTTCTATTCTATTAAGAAAATAGGGTTTGTCAACTTTTTGCTTCATTTTCTTTCAATTTTGTTCCTCACTTGTGAATATACAATGTTGACATAAGGAATGTAAAATAGTAATTTTGTACCTTTTGACAAAATGACAATCATATCCCTATTTTTCCTATTTTACCCTCACTTTTGATACATAATATTTACGTAAAGAGGGCAAAATGGTAATTATGTAATATTAAGAAAAATATGTCCTTATTAAGAGATCATCATCATTGTCTCATACTATTTTTAAAACTTTTAAATCACACTCCTTAATCAAAAACAAAAAATAAATGTGTGCTTATACCCTAGTATATATATAAACATTTAAGAGAAGAGATCCTCATTTTTTATAAAAAAAGGAATTAGTCGTAGGATCCACACCACATCGAACTTTGACAATCACAACCGTCTATTTTTTAAGTTTCACCTCATAGATCATCCTTACAAAATATTAGTCAAATCAGAAATGTTTAAGACATAATTAACAAATACTTTGTTATATAAGAAATAATGAAATTTTTTCTTGATAATTAAATAGGCAAATAGTTTCAGATTGAATTGAATTTTTGTCCGGATGATCTATGAATCAAAACTTATAAAATAAACAATTCGGATAAAATTCAATATGAAATGGACCCAATACCATACCCAATCCTCATTTAAAAAAAAAAAAAAGAAATCTCTTTGTATAAAGCGCCTGTATGTGTGTGTATTATATGTCCAATCAAATCAAAGATGGGGTTACCGTGTGTGTCTATATTATATGTCCAATCAAATCAAAGATGGGTTACCGTCTGCAATGTCCTCGTGACACCATGTCTCTAAACCCGCACTATTTGATAGGGTAAGACAACTTCAGCATTTGATTTTTGTTACCAACAATAATGCATTTTTGGTTTGATTTTCTCTCTCAAAGATAACAAGGAAGATCCCATCACATTATCATGATCCAATCGTGTTTGGAAAATGTCTCAATGTATTCCACGTCATTTTCAAAAAATAGAAGGCCATCCAGCTATTGCTACGAAGGACAATAAAACGACCCGACGTTTTTATTAGTGTGTGCTTTATTTCGCTTTCCTAGAATATTGCCTTGCATTTGCAATTTCCGTTCACCCTTATAAAACACTGGCACCATTTCATGCCCAAAACCAACCTTTTTTCATGACAAATTTGTGATGGGAAAAGCTAATAAGACTCCTTTATGATTGTAATCTACTACTAAGAAAAGACTGATTGATACTAAGTATTGTACATTGATATTCTGATGCCGTCAAATTACATCTTTATATTCTCACGACAAATTAATTTGATATGAAAATAGTATGATTTAAAATAAAGATAAAATAACGATGTATTGGCGCTTTCTATCTTAATAATAGGACAAAGAGGTGACTCAAGAAAAATGCATAACACTATGTCTGTTGGCCTCATTTTTGTCGACTTACAAATCTCTATCACTAGAGGTACTCAAACACATGGCTTGTTATCTTCTTGTGATTGTGGTTGAAGAGTTTATATAATTTAATTATTTTAGAGAAATATAATATTAATAGATCTATCAGCATCTGGCATGCCATTGAAAATTTCTAGATTTACATTCGCCCCATCAAAGCAGGAAAATAGTTGCATTGAAAATATGGTATATAATTAAAAGTTTACAAGACGAGTAATTAAAGATTACGTGAAAGATGACTTTTTTGACATATGGTGTGACATCCCTCCTTACTTTTATTAATATTATAAGGTTGCTGCTACTCGAAAATTCTTTGTCGCACAAGTTTTGACTTTGAAAAATTCTCAAAAAATGTATATATGATGGATTGACAGAAGAGACTTTGATGGGGCATGGTTTAGGGTTCATACTACAAGTTCAACTGCAGATGACGTTCATGTTGGGAACCCCTTCACTTCAGCCTACAGATTCAACTGCTCATGACATAATAAAGCTTCTTCAAAGTGACCATATGCATACTATTATTTCATTTAGTCACGTTTCCATCCAATTTTTTAATTAGACACAGTTGATAGTTACTAATTAAACTATTTCGTGGCCATTTTTCCTCCCCAAGTAAATTAATAAATGGCCTTAATCATGATTCATATAATTAATTTTCAATGTACAATACTTAGTATCAATCAGTCTTCAACCACAATAATTAAATGGCCTTAATCATATAATTAATTTACTGTTTCAATCACTCAGATTTGGAACAAGTGAGTGCTGGTGGATTCTAATACATTTTGTTGATATAAGGGGTACATATTCACGTGGTTAGGAGAATTTAACTTGCATTTATGATTATGTGTCCGAACTCTCATTTTCTAGTATTGCTTGCATCAAAAGAGAAAATGCATATATAATTTCTAATATATCGAAAGAAATACATTTTAGTGATGAGAGATGCACTTAAACATATAATAAACTTTAACCCTTTTAGTTCCAAGAACTTGAACTGAAATCTGAGTCCCATTTTTTTTTCTTGCTTGTATTAAAAGAAAAATTACATAACAAAATGCATTCATAGACCTGTGACTATTTTGATACAAGCCATAATGAGAAAGGAGACGATCTCTCAAATACAGATGACTATTTACGTACCCGCAATCGAAATGAACATAAGGAATCCAGTTCTTATTACGAATTCTTCTTGTGCTTACTAAGGTATAAAGGAATCAAGACTGTGTGGGGCCCACTTAAAAAATAGAATCTAACTCCTCCTTTTGGAGGAAATTAAAGTCTGCCTAGGATGTATTTATAGCAGTTTGGAGAAAGGCTTAATTGCATAGCGAGTTTGCAGCGAAATAGGTCATTTTTTAAGGAAAATAATCAAGTTTTAAAGAGGTGGAAAATGAGCAAAAAAATATGGATTATTTTATAAAGAAGTAGAAAGTTTCTATAATTTATAAGTATATGTTGCTATGGAAATTAAAGATATTACATAACAGATAAATTAATTTATTTAGAACATGGGCAGTTTAGTAAAAATACTGGTTTTAATTCCAAATAAAGGATATTTTGTCAATAGATTTTATGAAATTAGCATCATTTATACTCTGATTCCAAACAGTTTAGTAAATAACTTTCATAAAAATCCAATTCTGAATATTCCTCCCCAATCCAACTTCTCCTTAATTCAATTCCTCTTCAATTCAATTTCTCTCAATCTGATTGCATATTAGTAAATGTGTCATTAATCTCTTTTAGTTACAGCTGATATCTTAGTCAAGCTAGGCATTGGTTCAAGTGTGTTTAGCATATCATAATCTTGAAATCTTTTCAGCCAGCTCAAAAGAGAGACAATGATTGGTTACTCTCATGTACCGCACTCTCCAACTTGGGATTGAGGACGCATGGAGTCTGAGCAGTAAAAGCACAAAAGTGAGGGGAAGGAAATAAAAAAAGGGTCCCTGAGAAGGCTGGCAGTGGCACCGCTATCCCCTCCCCACACACCCCTTCTTTTGCTTCACCAAATTTACAATTATAATCCCTTCACTCGGTTAGGAGGTTGTCACTTTCACCCTCACAATGGGGCAATAGGGTTATTTATGGCATACCCTAACCCACCCACGTTACAACTTAAGCCAAAACCTGCTCATTGTCCCCACTTTTTTTCTATAAAAATCCTCCTACTTCATCCCCTAAACCCTACTTAACATCTTCACATTCATCATCATCAAACCCTTCATTGTTAATCTTCATAAGATCATAAAAAATGTGTTCCGCGAAACCAAGATTGCAACGAAGTGTTAGTGTCTCTGCAACATCAGGGAAACTAATCAACCGGCGTCCGGTTCTCCAGCCAACCGGCAATCAATTTCCGAGCTTGGAACAAAAAAAGTCTCCTAAAAAAAGCTCCCAAGAAACTAATGGTCCAACTCCTCTTCCTTCACCACTTCCAACTAATAAAACTAAGGCCTCACTTTCTCCTCCTATCTCTCCCAAGTTGCCTTCACCTCGACAGCATGCGTTTAAGCAAGGTAAAGATCCCAATGAGCTGAATTCTAGTGCTGAGAAGGTTGTAGTGACGCCTCGTTGCGTAACCAAATCGACAAGTTCGGTGAAAAAGTCGAAGAAATCTATTGGTGTTGCACCTTCTGCTGAAAGTGTGTTGAAGAATATATCGCCTTTGATAGTAGAGGCACCAGGAAGCATAGCAGCAACAAGGAGGGAGCAAGTAGCAACAATGCAAGAACAGCGAAAGATGCGAATTGCGCATTACGGAAGAACAAAGTCTGCCAAGTACGAAGGGAAAGTTGTTCCTCTTGATTCTTCAGCTACAAATTATTTCGGTCAAGAGCAAAGGAGATGCAGTTTCATCACCCCTAAGTCAGGTATGAAAACTTAGCTGAAGTACTTGAAATTTTAATTTCTACATACAACTTGTTGAAGTTATCAAGTTAACAAAAAGTTGAAAAATGTGTGTGCTTGCAGACCCAATATATGTTGCTTACCATGATGAAGAATGGGGAGTTCCTGTCCATGATGACAAGTAACTCTCTCTCTCTCTCTCTCTCTCTCTCTCTCTCTCTCTCTCTCAAACACACATACACGTTTGCAGCTACGGAAAATATGTACAAATAGAACCAGCCATAAATTCTAATTCAAAATATGATTGAATTTTCCAAGTTTATTTTTTATTAAAACTTGTAAGCAGTTTTATTTGAACACAGTTCCCTTGGAGCTAAACAGCTAACTTTGCTTGCTCATATTTACAGTGTGTTGCTTGAATTGCTACTATTAACTGGTGCTCAAGTGGGATCGGATTGGACTTCAGTCCTGAGGAAAAGGGAAGCATTGAGGTGGGTGTGATTCCAAAATTCCATTACTCTTTTTAAGTTCTAGATATATTAATAATAGAATTGAGATATTAATTTTGTGATAAAACCTCGTATTTTTTGGGCGCATTCATGGTCTCCTTGAAGTCTTAACAATAGCTACTATGTTTGTACAATTTTTCTTTAATAGTCCGGACTACTTAGTAATACGGATGATTAAACTGAGAAAATACTATTTTTATTTATTTGTCAATCTAATAGATATAAAACCAGACTACCTAGTAGTTCGTACTATTGAAGACTTGCCATGTTTGTAATCTTAACTAATCATAAGTTTTTCTTTATACAGGGAGGCTTTTTCAGGGTTTGATGCAGATGTTGTGGCTAGATTTAGTGAAAAAAAGATAACATCATTGAGTGCTGATTCTGGCGTAGATATTAGCCTTGTTCGAGGAGTTGTTGACAATGCTAAGAGAATTCTTAAGGTATATTGATTTAATACATTATTCATATTTACGAGTCGGCAAGTGATTTATGCACTTCTGTCTTTCTCTTTTGTGCTCAACAGCTTCAACTTCTCTTTTTTTTAACCATTTGATAAAGTAATCAGTGTAAAAGTGAAAATGGGAGGACGAAAATTACTTTATTTATTCGTCGTTGAATAAAGTTAAAAGGAATGTGATTAAGATATTTTCGATGTAAATATGATGTCTTAATCAACTTTTACTGTTTAAACCAATTTTACAGGTAAAGAGGGAAGTGGGATCATTTGACGAGTACTTGTGGGGATTTGTGAATCACAAGCCAATATGTACCCAATACAAGTCATGCCACAAGATTCCTGTGAAGAACTCCAAGTCAGAGGCCATCAGCAAAGACATGGTTAGAAGGGGGTTTAGGCATGTTGGTCCCACTGTAATTCACTTCTTCATGCAAGCAGCTGGCCTCACCAATGACCACTTGACCACCTGCCCAAGACACCCCCACTGCATCCCTTCACCATCATCACCCAAGATTTGATCACAGTAGTACATGGAAAGTTGGAAACACACATGTTTGCTTAGATGGCATGGAATAGCTAGGAGGATCCAAATAAGCTTATTCTCTAATTAACTCTAGATGTTTGCTTTGTAGTTTGTAATACAGTTGTTGTGTGTATCATATTACGTAGAAATTCTCTGTACATGATGTTTGTTTTTTGTTAAATGATGAATTTTGTATCGATAATGTAAATTGATGTTAATTATGAACGTTAATCTTATCTACTAGCGTTATCAACAACTCATCAACAGTTTAGTTTTTAACATCGTCATGTCCAAAGAAGAATTTTTAGTGGGAGCCTAAGCGGGCTTGTGAGATGAAATAGGGGCATATCGTGGATTATAAGCTGTATGTGCTGGCAGCCAAGGGCAAGTGTATGGCTATGGAATGAAATATTTCAATGGTTATGTATGGCTATGGAATGAAATAGCTTTCAATGGTTATGGATGGCTGCCACCACCACCTCCACCTCTATTATTTGCTTTGCTTTTAACAGGATTGTGAGGAATAATCCGTGCAGGTAGGACTGTTTGGCCCAGTCCTTACCATATCCAGGACCATGATTTATCCATCTATCTAATCCTCTCTTTCCACTTAAAGTGGACAAGTATTGTCAGTTCTTCCCTCAGAGATATGAAAGCTGCCTACGTGCACAAGCACAATCACCATGCCCTTTTACCAAAAAATAAAAAATAAAAAAAACCACCATGCCCTTGGTTCTTGTACTTTTTTTAATTATTTAATTTCATTTTTTCTAGATTCTGACCTTTTGGGATACTTATCTGTATATGTTTTCACAAAATTAAGGTTTTGACTAGATATTATAACCTAGTTTAAAGGAGATGTTAATAAATTTCTCCCTCGAATATTTTGATTTTTTCTTCTCGGCTCTTCTTTTTGTCATGCTATGTTTTCTTATAATCGAAACCGTATAGTTTCTAAGTCAGTCTTTACATATCAACTATTTACAAAAATCAACCAAATTAGAAGTCTATTAACATTAACGTAGTTAAAATTTCAATGTCTAAGTGAAAATAATAATCCGTTTATTTACTTGTTAACCAATAAATGACGATTAATCAATCTTTTCAACAGATAATCTTTAAGGGATGGCTTAGTAAATAAACAGATTAATTAGATCATCGTGCAACACTGAGAATGTAGCTAGCGTTATTGTTAATCTAAACAACTTAAAGGGAAATTGACACACTCGATCAACATTCTTTCTTTAATGTCCTTTCAATCCTTGGCACTCTTTAAGCATCTTCTCCATGTGCCGAGTAATGTACCTTTCTTCTTTTCCTGTTTCTGTTGTCTTTGTGCAGAACATTGCATATGGATACACATATGATATGATGGCAGTTAATTCATGGCTGTAAATATTTGCAGCTGTGAATCCCAGGTAAAGTGGCATTCGATGTCCGATGGGAATCTAAAACCATGGACGTGGGTGGACCTAAAGTTCGGTTGAAATTCCCAAAACTCACACCAACAAGGCAACAATATAGGGTTCCCTGCTTCTCTACTTTTCTCTTGAAGAATCTGCTTCCCAAATACAAATAGTTTCCCTGAAATTACAGAATATAACTTTATCCTGTGGCCATCTTTTCAAGTATGTGTCTTTTTATTCAATCGTTGTCTGCCTAAACTAATCTAAACTATGAGGAATCGAACTCTAATCTAAACTACAAGGAAGTTGAACTCGAATACATAAAGAAAACACGTAAAATCTAGCTATGTTTTTGGAGTGGTAATCTCAATACACTTTTTTGAAGAGGTAATCCCTGTGCAAGACTCCAAATTCATACAACTCATAAATCTTAACAAAATGCACGTTCATCACCCCTTATCATTTCACGATAGTTCAAGTGAGTGATGCTTATATATAGAAATCAAACAACTTGAGTTTAATACCTATAACACTACCGCCTACACTAGTACATGTTCAATACATAGATATCACTCGAGGATCCAACGCATGTACACTAGTGTGAATTAGAATGTGTCGGCTGTTACAGCAGTGATGAAACTCGAGTTCAACTAGAGTAGCAAACCTAGAAAGCTTAGTAGTTTGCCAGGAAAACTGGAGTTGAACGCAAACTGGATAAGCGAATAAAGTCATTTTTTCACAAATTCTAGACTGTTGTAGAGGGATTAAGCATTCCTTTGAACGCAATGAGAAGATCTAGGGTAGAAACTAGAAAGTAGCTCCCCAGTAGCTCAACTACAATTTGGTTTTGTAGTGAGCGTCATATTAAATGTTATATGACTAAATCTAGACACAACCCAAGTGATCAAACAAAAATTACTTCAAAATAACATAAGCATAATGTGTGCAACAACTACAGTTATCTGTATCAAGATGCGAAAGGGTAGAAATAAACAAAACAAAATTTGCAGCATAATATCCAAAGCCAATAGGCAAACCACTACAAAAACATAGTTGAAAATTGTCAATTAAGTTTAAAGCTTGTTTTCGACGCGAGTCTTTAAGCAGTGGCTGTGGCTTGCGCTGCTGCTCTCTTCTTGGCCTCTTCAATAATGGTAAGCTTAATACCCTTACCCTTGGGAAGGCTTATCCATGGCTTGGTCCCCTTGCCAATTGTGAACACATTGCCCAACCGGGTTGCAAACTCATGACCACTGGCATCCTGGACGTGGATAGTCTCGAAGCTTCCCTTGTGCTTCTCCCTGTTCTTGATTACTCCAACACGCCCTCTGTTCCTTCCTCCAGTCACCATGACCACATTGCCGACATCAAACTTGATGAAGTCAGTGATCTTGTTGGTCTCCAAGTCCAACTTAATGGTGTCATTTGCCTTGATGAGAGGGTCTGGGTAACGGATTGTTCGCCCATCATAGGTGTTAATATATGGAATGCCTTTCTGTCCAAACTGCACAGAGCGGACTTTGCAGAGTTTAAACTGCAAGAGACACAGAATCAAATATCAGCACATTATCACATGAATTTCAAAACATTTAAACTCTGGAAGCATGTATTATATTAAAGCATAACTTTAGTTAGACAGTTATCCACATCAAGAACATTTCTTCAGCCAGTGAACATTGAATGGTTCCATATATTTTCATCAAGAAAAAATTTAAAGCAGGGGACATGGTATTATTAGCATGTATGCTTAGATTAATTAATTCTATGAAGAACAAGATGTTTAGGTGCTGAATTACCTTGTACACCCACAATAATTTATTCATATCTAAAGACTATCAATTCAGAAAAGCAATGTTACTTGAACAATAAAAACCACCATGTGACAAATGCACGAGGATTGAAAGAAATGACCTTTGCTTCTTCATCCCTGATGGAGTGGAGACGGAACCGACCCTTGGTGTCATAAAGGAGACGGAAGTTCTCATTTGTCTTGGGGATTGAAACAACATCTGAAAAAGCAAATAACAATGCTCACAAATCGTTCATTTCGAGACAAACAAGTCATAGATGAAAAGGATTGTTCAAATAAATATTGCATTGTTGATATAACAACATGAATACCGGTTAAGACCCATTGAAGTAGCAATACATCAAAGCAGAGAGTGTTGGGCATACCCATGAAACCAGACGGATATGTCTTATCTGTCCTCACTTTCCCATCAACGAGAACATGTCGTTGCATCAGAATGGAAATGACCTCACGGTAGGTCAGAGCATACTTCAATCGGTTACGCAAGATGATAACCAATGGCAGGCACTCCCTGGATTTGTGAGGTCCAGACGAAGGCTTGGGAGCCTAAACAACATAAGAAACGCACCATATTCCAAATTAGTCAATTACCGCGTCAAATACCAACCATTGCACCAATTCAGATCAAAATGAACACTTGCAAAGAGAATTTTAACTTACAAATGCACCGCCAAGTTTGTCGAGCATCCAATGCTTGGGGGCATTGAGCCTCTTCAAATGTTTCTTCAAACCACGAGCCTGTTGCACCCAAAAACTAAAAATTAAAAACAATCCCACTTCAACATCGTAACAATAACGCGTACCGATCAAAGAATTAGCATTGACACGATGATCCAACAATACAATTACAACGTCTAAAAATCAAAGATTTTTCACTCCCAAGAACCTAATTTAACAATTATCCATTAACTCTCGTCAAAAAATAAACAATGACCCATAAAGTTTTGAGGAGAACCAGGTTCAAAAGATTGATTCAATCCATATCCAATGGTGCTACATCACAAAAGTTGTAAAATTTATCGTTGCATCAAACATGTTGCAGAAACCGCAGAAATCAAAGAGAAACGAACAGTAGAAAAATTCAAAGTAAATCCATGGAAAGATGTCAGAGGAAAATGAAATACGAACCATGTTGTTAAATTGATTTCAGGTGAACTCCGCCAACCTCCGCCGCCGCTCCTTCGCTGCTCCCGAGTCCAAAGTCCGAAGCCGCTCCCGCTCTCTGTGATCTGTGGAAGCTACAAACTCTCGCAGTCGCAGCTCTATATACCCCCTCCCGTTTGTTCACGAAACCCTAATGAGCTCCCGCTTCAGGGCTCGAAAATGGGCCGACTTTTGGGCTTCAAATCTCTACTTCTTTTTTATCTTTTGGGTTAGGCCCGGTTGGAATTACATTCGTCTTTGGACTTCTGGTATTGGATCTCGGGAGGTCCATTATTGTTGGCCCAATAGCATAATAAATGATCCAGTAAAGGAATATGTAGAGGAATAAAGAAAAATCCTTATTTTTTCTAATAAAGCACCGTCACGGGTGTGATTACTTATTCTACTTTATAAATTATTACATGTGTTTTGTTTTATATTCAATCTAAACGGCCAAACATAAGCAGAGAACGTGCGTGTAGCAAAAATGTGTGTTAAGATCAGTTTCTAGAAAGAAAATAGGTTGCAATGCATAAGGGAAGTCAACCTACGAGCACGGAACAACGTAGTATTGCTGCCCCTGTCTAAGTAGAGTAAAGTCTCTCCTTCAACCAGAATGTAAGAAAATTGAAAGAAGCGCAGAAAGGATCAAACACGGTTTTTAGCATCGAAAAGGGCTATCATCTACGATAAGCGGGAGTTTGGACTTGGCGAACGAGAGGAAAGGGGGGCCGGCTCAATGTTAGATTGAGAAATCATATGAGCGTTGTTTTCCATCTTGAAAAAAATGAATATGCAGCTGTTTCTTTTCATTCACAAATTGTGTTGCCAAATGACATGACAACTGATTAATTAGTTTGCAATTGCATGGGTTCCAATAATCCTGGTGGAGAGAGTATTGGGTTTCCATTCATGCGCTCTGGATGTGATATTTTCCCCTCCTAAATTATTGTAGAAGTTTCAGACCTCCCCTCCGCCTTCCCTTAATAATAATAAAATTAAATTAAAAAAATTGGTTAATTAGTTGGAATGAGTTCAAATTAAGACCTTAAGCAAATCTATTAATTAATGTGATAATGTATATTAGTGGCAATGGCAAGTCGTGAATTGTGGAGAAAAATGAATTGACATCACATGGAATGGAAGTCCCTTGACTTGTGTTACCAGCCAGGTTTCCGGGAAAGCAACAGAGTCACAGCCTCAAATACTATGTAACATCAACAATTCCTTCATCTTCTAACTTCTAATTCAAAACAATTAAATTAAAAAAACTAATTCTTCCACGTATACATCTCCCCAAATACAATATTCCCTTTATATTTAGAGAATTGTTATTAGCACTCTAAAAATTTAATTATACAGTCCAAACTTTATATATTAGGAAAGAAAAATACATTTATGAAAAATGTAAAATAAGATTTTTGAAGTGCTAATAACATTCTTTATATTTAAATAATAATTATAATAATAATAGTAATGTGAAAAGAAGAATTCATAACCTGTAAACTGTAGCAATGGTTTACGTATATTATGTTGAGTTGCATGTTCTTGTATACATTATTTGGTTTATTGTTCACGACGACGACGGTGCCAAAATCTATTTTATTTTTAACTTTCTTATGTTATGGCGGTTGAGGTGGTTGATTTAGATTTGGATTCCATTCGGATTCAAATTGTGGGAATCTTAAAAATGTTCACATTTTAGTCGTTTATCGTACATCATGCAGTTAGAAACTATTTTGAATTTTTTATTAAAGTTAAACAAAAATAGTATCTAATGAAAACTAACCGCACGATAAACGGCTAAGATATGATGATCCCTAGAATCCTCACAAAAAGGATCTAGAGATGATCCTCATCCGGTTAATTTATTCTACAAAATGCAACTTTTAGTCTAAAAAACAGATCGCTTGCTTTCACTCTACTTCCTTCGTAAACTTACTCGTAATGCTAGAAAGACTAAACTTTTAAATAAAAATTTATAACACAAATAATGTTTTTGTTAATGATTAAATTATTGCTTTACTCGTTGATCACCGAGTGTGGGAATAACACATCCTTAAATAAATAAACAAATAAAACAGTAGCTGGTCACCGAAGGAAACTTGTCTGTCAATTCTCGTTCCGCGTGGGAGTTTATGCCACGTGTTAGGCCGCAATGACAAAATAATCGATAACAATAAAATAAAAATATTGTAGCAGGAAAAACCAGCGTGGTCCTACGATCCGATGTCGTTTAAGGGAAGACAGGCCACAATCATAGGTGGCTTTTTGACAGCGTCGACATACTGATTTAAAATTTGTGGAATCCTACACGTGTCACATCCTTACCATCCCTCTCAATCCTCTTGCCACCGACGCCCCTAACTCGTATTTTGCAGTGGTGATTAACCCCCACAATATTTCTTAGACAATTTTCATGGCGATTAAACATGTCAAACTACAGAGTCGGTCCAGTAATTAATTCCTCATTAATCATACTCATAATTTAGTACAAACGGCACTTATTGACTTACATGATATCATCTGAAAATTTCAGAGTCTGTACAACGGCTTACTACTAATTACATCAATATTATTCTCAACTCAATTACAATTACAATCTAATAGATATGAGATTTTATCACGTTATGTGAGGGTCTATCACTGTATAATTAAGACTAAAACTATTCATTAAGTTTTTCAATATGGGATATGTTCAACAAACATATATTATTAAGGATCCGGTGATAACCTTCTTTTTTTTTTTTGTTGCACTTTTTGTGTTTGATATTTCAGAAAATATATAGGAAAGATAGTGAAGGATGAATAAAGGGTGACAGATAGACTAAATGAAACAAATTTCATAAATCAGTCAATATTTTTCCTATAAAGTGTCCTAAGTTAACTCTCTCTAACCTAACCCCTCTTATTTTTACCCCAAATTTAGAAAAAAAAAAATTGCATGACTTGTTTTTTGTCGGAAAGGAAATTTATTAAACAAAAAAAATTTATATCCAAAAGTATTTAAACAACCATTCTCACTCAAAAATGTACCATGAATTAAGGTCACTTATTCATGATAAAAAAGCCGCAACTAAGTGCGCTGCCCTATTACAACCTCTGAGAGCCAAAATGAACTTTACTGACCTTAATTGCAATTCCACACACTTTATATCAAAGAAGAGACCTTCAAGATTAACATTTGGTTGCTTTCATTAATCATATCACCAAGCTCATTAGAATCCGTTTCCACCTGGACGACATCAAATCCTTTAGCCACGCAGGCCACCAATGCTGCCCGTTTGCTTCCGCCTCGCCATTGAAAATTCCTGCAAAATCCCGTGCCACCCACCCAAATTCCCCCGTCTCGTTTCTATAAACCCTATATCTTCCAACTCACCCCAGTGTTTTTGCACAGTTTCACGGCACCAATGGGTTCTGCGACTACCTTGTCAAAGACCAAGCTATTCCTACATTTCCAAAGCCTCCATAATCCACACACCACCCATCTCATTATTTTCCCATTTTCCTCCTCCTTTTCATACCGACTAGACAACCATTGATGACAAATCTCATTTGTTATTAGAAGAAAATCTATGAAAGAAAACTCACGAGGTTGTAAAAAAGAGAATATAAAACAAGCTGTAAACTCTAATTCGGTTAATACAGTTTGCGGGTAAATTACGTGCACATATTTATCATTTGCCATTAAAATTTAATCAACACTTAAATAGTAATTCAATAATTTGATTTACAAAATTTTATCTTCCTCGCATTGCCTATATTAATTTGACTATTCTTTTTTTTTTTTTTTTTTAGGGAAAAAAAGGCAATAATCACTCCACTATGGTTTCCGAAAACAGCAATCATTGTTTTAAAAATGGAGACCGACTAAGGAGTTTAGATGCCCAAGTAAAAGCAACTTATAAACCCTCAGTAGAGTTGATTAGGGCGACAATTAAGACAATTTTAATTACGAAATTTAGTAAATTACTCCATGAGTTCAACAATTAATAAGACCGATCAAGTAAAGGCAACAAGTTCGTTTTAGATATTCAACCTCATGCTTGATTTCGGAAAAGCATACAACCCAAAAGCAAAGGATAGAATTTGAGGTTTCTAATTTCTTTTTTAGGAAACTTTAGGGTTGGATAATTTTGTTTTCCATTCCACTAGGACTTGGTTATTCTGTCCTAGTTGATTAATAAGTTCGGTCTTAAATACAAATAATAACGAGTTCGTTTGGAACTGCTTTTAAAATGATTTAAAGCGTTTTTGGTGAATTTTTTTTTGGGTTCCAAAGAAACACTTGAAGTGATTTTTCAATGTTCATTTGCGTTTTTATAAGGAATTGATATAAAAGTATTTTCATCAAAAGTGTTTTCAATCATTTTTAAAGCACTTACCATCGAGATTAAGTGGCAATAGGTGAATTATAATAATTTTAGTACCAAACACGTTATTTTCTAAAACCTTCAATTTACAAATAAAGATAAATTTTATCAAATGATATATTTGTTAGATTAGATGTTAGATTAAATAGCCGATTTGGTTTGAACTCACGTCGTGACGTGATGTAAGGACAATACTCCTCAGAGGGCAACTTGCGATTAACTCGGTTTTCACTTTACATTTCTTTACTATTTCTTATTTTACTGCTGCATTATTTGGAGGTCTAGAGAGCCGTTGCAATCACCAATTTCCTAAAAAGCAAATAAAATTTCACCGGACCGGCAGAAAACCCAAACCCTCCTTTCCTTATTTCCTTCCCTCTCCAAACAATTATTCCCTAAAATAAAAACATTATTACAAAAATTCACAAAATCACAGCTGGAAAAAACACACACGCACTCGTATATATAAACCCCAAAAACACGGGAATTGCAAACGACACAGGGACAGAGAGAGAACTTCAACTTCTTCCTCTCTCTTTCCGGTTCAGTAGAAACGAAAGCTCTACACGCATCAATGGCGAAGGAGAAAGCAGACAAGGAGAAGAAGCTGTTCGTTGGAGTCGTCTGGAACTACGCGGCGGAGCTGAAGCTACTACTGATGGCTCTGTTAATCCTCTGCACATTAGCTACTCTTCTCCAATTCATCCCTTCCCGCTTCACCATCTCCACCTCCGATCTCCGCTTCTGCATCTCCAGAGTCAGCACTTCCGCCCAAGTCCAGGCCCTCGCCCAAGCACCGGGCCAGTCAGATATAGCCACCGCCACCGCCACCGCCGCAGCTGCAGCACCGTCATCAACACCATCTTCCCCGCCGCCTCCGACTCCGCCACCGCCGCCATCTGTTGAGCTCGACAAGGTGCTGGAAAATGGCGTCCTCAAGCGGGCCTTCAACCCGTACGGCTCCGCCGCCTACAGCTTCATCACCATGGGAGCTTACAGAGGCGGCATGAACACTTTCGCCATTGTGGGCCTGGCCTCTAAGCCTCTCCACGTCTACTCCAACCCCAAATACGAGTGCCACTGGGTCCCGAATCTCAATTCGACCCGACGCATTTCCTCAATCGCGTACAAAGTGCTGCCGGATTGGGGCTACGGCCGAGTCTACACAGTCGTGGTCGTGAACTGCACATTCTCCCAGCCCATAAATGCCGACAACTCCGGCGGTAAACTCCTCCTATTAGCCACCACCGAAGGCGGCGGCGACCGGAAGTTCAACACCACCGACACAATCCAGGTCTTAACCGAAGAACCCAACACTTTAAACCCCGGAATCTTCACCGCCCGGCCTAAATACGACTATATATACTGTGGCTCTTCGTTGTACGGAAATCTGAGTCCCCAGAGAGTGAGGGAGTGGATTGCTTACCACGTCCGGCTCTTCGGGCCCAGATCCCACTTCGTCATCCACGACGCCGGTGGGATCCATGAGGAGGTGCTGGAGGTGCTGAAACCATGGATGGAGCTCGGATACGTGACGCTGCAGGATATCAGGGACCAGGAGAGGTTCGATGGGTACTATCACAACCAGTTCATGGTGGTGAATGATTGCTTGTTCCGGTATAAATTCATGGCGAAGTGGATGTTCTTCTTTGATGTGGATGAGTACATTTACATGCCTCCCAAGAGCAATCTAAAGTCGGTGCTCGATTCGCTGTCGGATTACACGCAGTTCACCATTGAGCAGATGCCCATGAGCAGCAAGCTCTGCCTCCTCGAAGATTACCACAAAACTTACAGGTACCCATCTCACCATTTCTCTGTTTTTTTACATTTTCCGAATCGGGTTTGCTGCATTTTTTAGATTCGAGCGATATTCTAATTACTCTAATCTAAGCGGTATTCTAATTACTCTAATCTAAACTACGAGAATGCGAATTCAAATCTTTAGATCATATTATGTAATGTGAGATTTGTCTGTGGTTCTAGTTTCTGGATTTCAATTGGTGATTGGGAGTTGGATTCTGACATAGTTGCATGAGATGTTTGTCACCTTTGCTGTAAATTGCAATGCAAGCATAATTATGGGGTTTCTGCGAATTACATTTGGGTGATTGTTTCCTGTGGTGGGTCGACAGTTCTGCAACTTTTTACACTTCGATGTTGAAAAAATGTAATTTTTGATCAAGTTGTCTGTGCGCATGAAATGTTTTTTGGCACATTCCTCGGCTTTTGCCAAAGGGTCCTCCTAGTCCTCCTCCTCATTCATTTTTACCAGGGCAGGTGCGTAGTGGTGGGGGTTGGGGCTTTGAAGCTTTGAACTTTGTTCTAAAGTGATTGTTTTTTTATTCATGAGGAGGACCCCAATTATTTCTTTTATTAACATTTTGACCCATCTTTCTGATACTCTTGCCTTTGTTTTGTGAAGGTGAAAGCATATTTTCTTCAATTATTGATGTTCTTTTCTTCTAGGGGATGCATGTGACATGGTCCCAATTATCAAAATTATATGTTAATCCTGGTTACGGAAAATTATTGGTCCAATGTTTGAACATAACAATATGTTTACGCTCACGGGTTAGGATTTTAGGCTAATTCATAGAATGAGCAAGCCATACTAATATGGTATCGAATTTTTGGAAATTAATTATATATTAGTTGATTAGTTAATCTTAAGATAATGAATTGGAAAATCTTGATGATCAAATGATGTTGTTTACGGAAATGACAGAATGGTTAGTGAAGAAATGAATCAGTTGAAACAAAGAAGTCTTGAGAGATTAAGTAAGATTAAGACTGATGTTGACCATTGAAAAATTAAATTAATTATAGTCTCAAGAGATTAAGAGAGTTTTGTTGGTACTTAAGAAATTAGGGGATTTAAGTTTTAACCCACGACGGAAATACTAAGGGGTATATTTTACCCATTTTTTTTAATAAAAGTATATTCTGTGTGCACATGCTGATCCGAACATGTTGTGATGCTGCAGGAAATGGGGGTTTGAGAAACTTGTGTACAAAGATGTGAAGAGAGGGATACGAAGGGACCGGAAATACGCGGTGCAACCGCGCAATGTGTACGCCACGGGCGTGCACATGTCGCAGAATGTAGCAGGAAAAACAACGCACAAGACGGAGAGCAGGATCCAGTATTTCCACTACCACGGAACCATTGCCACTCGGGGGGAGCCCTGCAGACGGCTGATCAACACGACCGAGATCTATGTTGACAAAGTACCTTATGCTGTGGACACGACGCTGAGAAGTGTCGCTGGCTCTGTGAAGAAGTTTGAGCTCAGGATGATTGGATCCAGGTTACAAAACACCAGACAATAAGGGGCACACCATTTTCCCACTTTTTTTTTATTCCTTTTATTTTTATTTATTTTATTTTCTTGTTGGTTTTTTTCTATGTTAATGTTTAATTTAATTACGGTTGTAGAACAGAACATTCTTTGGAGGGTTGAGAGTTCTTCCTTGTATATTAGTTTTTAGTAAAAGGGTATATAATAGTTTTCAGACATGTCACATGGTTTGGAGTATAAATAGATGGGAATAATATAAACCTTCGAGTTTCACCTTCTCGGCTCTCTTACTCATTTTATAATATTGTTTAATGATTGGAATTAACTCCGCCTATGTCTTACATGGCCGGTCCCAAGCCCGGATAAAGGAGGAGGGGGAGGGCGTCAGGTAGTCGACAGCCGGCACTCCATGATCACGTCGAATCCTTATGAAAATGAATCCAGAACAAAATCGCGCTAAAGCTAGGGCGTCACCCGTAAGTGGCGCGCTGTGTGGCCTGAGCACAGTGATAAGTGAGCAAGGGTCGCTGTATCTCCATCGGCACCCGGATGCAGTGTTAAATGAGCAAGGGGGCCATAGAAACTTCTTTTCGAACGACTTCACTCAAAGTTGTTTGGGAGCATATGCTCCTATCAACTTTACCCGGGACACACAAAAGAAGTACTTTGATCCTATTAGACGGGGAAGGGTGAAGAAGCTAGGACAGAAGGGTAGAGTTCAAGAGAGCAAAATGCGTTTAGGAACGTGGAATATAGGAACCTTAACGGGAAAATCTATGGAAGTAGTGGAAGTTATGGTGAGGAGAAGGATAAATATTATGTGCCTACAAGAAACTAAGTGGGTTGGTAGTAAGGCAAAGGATCTAGAAAACTCAGGGTTTAAACTTTGGTATTCGGGCACAAATAGAACGAGAAACGGTGTTGGCATCATCGTGGACAAGACCTTGGTACAAGATGTTGTAGATGTCAAGAGGGTAGGAGATAGAATCATGGCAATCAAGATTGTAATAGGACAAGAACTTATCAATGTGATTAGTGCGTACGCACCTCAAGTAGGGTTGGATACGAGTTCGAAGGAGAAATTTTGGGAAGATCTTGGAGACTTGGTGCAAGGAATTGCTCAGACAGAGAAGTTATTTATAGGAGGAGATTTAAATGGACACGTGGGCAGGGAGACAGGCAACTATGGAGGTTTTCATGGTGGCCATGGTTTTGGGGAGAGAAACGAGGATGGGGAAGCTATCTTGGATTTTGCAATGGCATATGATCTCTTCTTAGCCAACACCTTCTTTAAGAAGAGAGAAGAATATGTGATCACCTACAAGAGTTGGTCGTCAAAAACACAAATAGATTTTCTTCTAATGAGGAAAGGGGATCGTATAACTTGTAAGGATTGCAAAGTTATACCAGGAGAGAGCGTGGCTAATCAACATCGCTTGTTGGTGATGGATGTACATATCAAAAGAGTAAGACAAAAGAACAAGACTTGGAAGTGCCCAAGGACTAGATGGTGGAATCTAAAAGAAGAAAAACAAGCAATTTTCAAAGAGAAGGTAATCACCCAATGTGTGTGGGATAGAGAGGGGGAAGCTAGCCAAATGTGGGATTCCATGGCTAGTTGTATCCGAAAAGTAGCAAAAGAGGTATTAGGAGAGTCCAAGGGCTTTGCCCCACACCAAAAGGAATCTTGGTGGTGGAATGAGGAGGTACAAACGAAGGTGAAGGCTAAGAAGGAATGTTGTAAAGCCTTATACAAGGAGAGGACCGATGAAAATGGTGAAAGGTATAGAAAAGCGAAGCAAGAGGCGAAGAAAGCTGTCAGAGAAGCTAAGTTAGCGGCTTACGACGATATGTATAAACGACTAGATACCAAAGGAGGAGAGTTGGATATCTATAAACTATCTAGAGCAAGGGAAAAGAAGACAAGGGACCTAAACCAAGTGAGGTGCATCAAGGATGAGGATGGAAAGGTTCTTGCTACAGAGAACGCGGTTAAAGACAGATGGAGAGGTTATTTTCATAATCTTTTCAATGAAGGACATGAAATGAGTGCTTCTTTAGGGGAGTTGAGTAACTCAGAAGAGTGTAGAAACTACTCTTTTTATCGTCGAATCCGGAAGGAAGAAGTGGTTGTAGCTTTGAAGAAGATGAAGCATAAAAAAGCAATAGGCCCAGACGATATACCAATCGAAGTGTGGAAACTTTTGGGAGAGACAGGTATAACATGGCTCACTGACCTTTTCAATAGGATTTTGAAAACGAAGAAGATGCCAAATGAGTGGCGAACGAGCACTTTGGTGCCTATCTACAAGAATAAGGGCGACGTACAAAATTGCATGAACTATAGGGGTATTAAGCTAATGAGTCATACAATGAAGCTCTGGGAGAGAGTCATTGAGCATAGATTGAGGCAAGAGACACGGGTTTCGGACAACCAATTCGGGTTCATGCCAGGGCGCTCAACCATGGAGGCAATCTATCTCTTACGAAGATTGATGGAAAGATATAGAGATGGGAAAAAGGATTTACACATGGTCTTTATAGATTTGGAAAAAAACGTATGATAGGGTCCCAAGAGACATTCTTTGGAGGATTTTAGAGAAGAAAGGAGTACGAGTAGCATATATCCAAGCTATAAAGGATATGTACGAAGGAGCAAAGACTGCCGTAAGAACTCATGAAGGACAAACCGAAAGCTTTCCCATAACTGTAGGATTACATCAAGGCTCATCCTTAAGTCCTTACCTTTTTGCGTTGGTAATGGATGAGTTAACAGGACATATTCAAGATGATATTCCTTGGTGTATGCTTTTCGCAGAGACGATATATAGTGTTGATAGATGAAACTCAGGAAGGGGTAAATGCAAAGCTTAACCTTTGGAGAGAAGTGTTGGAATCTAAAGGTCTTCGCCTAAGCCGATCAAAGACAGAATATATGGAGTGCAAGTTCAGTGCAAATGGGAGCCAAAACGAGTTAGGGGTGAGGATCGGAGATCAAGAAATACCAAAGAGCGACCGTTTTCGTTACCTAGGATCTATCTTGCAAAAGAACGGAGAATTAGATGGAGATCTAAACCATAGAATACAAGCTGGATGGATGAAGTGGAAGAGTGCATCCGGCGTGTTGTGTGACCGCCGTATGCCACTGAAGCTCAAGGGAAAATTTTATAGGACGGCAATAAGGCCGGCGATGCTGTATGGCACAGAATGTTGGGCGGTGAAACATCAACACGTACACAAAATGGGTGTAGCGGAGATGAGGATGCTTCGTTGGATGTGTGGGCACACGAGAAAGGATAAGATTAGGAATGAGGATATCCGGGGTAAAGTAGGGAGTAGCCGAAATTGAAGGAAAGATGAGAGAAAATCGATTACGGTGGTTTGGACATGTGCAAAGAAGGCCTACTGACGCTCCGATTAGAAGATGCGACTATGGGACAGAGGTTCAGGGCCGAAGGGGTAGAGGAAGACCTAGGAAAACTTTGGAAGAGACTCTAAGAAAAGACTTAGAGTACTTGGATCTAACGAAGGACATGACACAGGATCGAGCACAATGGCGTTCTAAGATTCATATAGCCGATCTCACTCAGTGACTTGGATTTTCCAAGTCTCCAACCGAGAAGTTTTCCTCACTCGGGAAATTAAGGGAACACTACCCCAACCTACATGCTCCACTCAGAAAGCTTCAACATACAAGCTTCAACAAAAGAAAATTCAAAGAACTTAGCGAAGAAGGCTTTGGTGTATTTAACACAATACGTTGAAATGAAGGAAAGCTTATTTATTGATATCCCCGATAAGCTACAAATATGTACATATACATGAGTCAAAATAAACACACAAGAGGGAGCCTTCACAAAGGTTGCTTAGGAGAAGTCTCAGCAGTTGGTAGAGCCCCAGAAAGAGAAGGCACCGGAGGGGGATCATTTGGAGCCTCAGTACTGGACAGAACCCTAGAAGGAGGAGGCATCAGAGGTTGATCATTTGGAGCTTCATTACGCGGTACAGCCCCAGAAGACGAAGGCAATAAATGCCTTTGGAACAAACCCACAAATCTCTGATGATCAAGTAAAACCTGACCATCAGTTTCCTTCATCTGGTCAAGCTTCCTCTTCATGTTTGTAGCATAGTCATGTGCCAGCCGGTGCAACTGTTTATTCTCATGCTTGAGCCCTCTAATCTCCTGTTTGAGACTCATCACTTCAGCCGCCAATGATTCAACTTGGCGGGTTCGAGCAAATAGGCGTTGGGCCATATTACACACAGAACCTGCACACTGAACACTGAGAGCCAGCGAATCCTTAACAGCTAACTCATCAGACCGTTTGGAAAGTAGTCTGTTATCTTTGGGAGTGAGAAGGTTCATGGCCACCACCGCAGCGGTCATATCATTCTTCATCACGGAATCCCCAACGGTAAGAGGACCAGTAGGGGAGACGAAGGATGGGCGCCATATGTTGTCTGGAGAAGGCGGGGCTGCCTCTTCAACAAGGTTCAAGTCAAAACGACGGTCGGATGGGCCAGACATTTTCAAAGGTGTTGAAGAGAGAAGAGGTCGGACAAATCAAGATCTTAGAAGTGCAAGAATGAAGCTTCTACTGGTGGAGATTCAAGTGTGCTTTAGAACTTAATGCCAGCCCCTATAAAAATCTGCACTCGACGGAGCTTCAGAAATCGAAGAGGCGCCTGCTCAGAAATCGAAGAGACGTTTGCTTTCTCAAAAGCTGAGCTGCTTAGAGATCACGAGGGTTGATCTCAGAAATCGAAGAGCCTTTTGCTTTCTCAAAAGTTGGGCTGCTCAAAGACCACGAAGGCCGATCTCAGAAATCGAAGAGGCGCTCGCTTTCTCAAAAGCTGGGCTCCCCAGAGACCACGAGGGCCGATCTCAGAAATCGAAGAGGCACCTACTTTTCCAGCCTTGTCAGCACCTGTCACACGCACACTCAGCTTTGCGGAAATTATGGGCATTCTGTCGAAGACTTCTGGGGAAGTAGAAAACACATGAATCTTACTGTTCAATCACCCACTTCCCACACGCAACAATAGCTCATGGGTACCACAGATAACTTTGCCAAAGTTCTCTGCCAAAGTTGAGCACGTGAAGCTTGCAGCTCCCACTACATCGCTCTGACCAAGAAGGGTAAAAGAATAGCAAAGAAACAGCACTAACAAAGTTTAGACCCATAAATTTTGAAGGTCTAGCTACCATATTATTACCCACAAGGGTAAAGGAACAGTACCACTGCTGGATAATTGGAAAGTCCCTGTGTGTCAACC